TGAAGCAAAGGAGCCTTGAACGATTCTTCTCTCTGAATGAGATCGAAGCACTGAGAGAGGAAAAGGACGATAAGCGTGATGATGTTGAATTTGAACAGATCAGTGATACAGAAGAACAGCCTGAGATTTCTAGGGGTTTGATTGATGTTGATGATGATAATACTGGTGATAATGATGCTGGCGATCCTCCATTGCCAAGTTATAGTACTCAGCCACGTATGTCAGGGAGGAAAAGGAAGCATGTAGAGGATGATATGTATCAGTCTCATTAGTTTAAACTGAAATTAATCACAATGCTTTAATATATGCTTGAACAAATCAATAATTTATTGAATTTGAAGTGAACGATGTAATCGAAATGCTCAAAATTACTGGGAATTCCTGCATTATTTGTGCAGTCACGAGAAATTGGCATGTTTGCATTGTTTAGTTAAAGGGGGGGCTCGGGCCCCCCCCCCCCTCCGAGCTGTGGGGAAGGCCCGAAACCCGACCCTTTTGAGGGTCGAGTCGGGTCGGGTTTCGGGCTTTTCGAGCTTTGCGGAAGTCTAGACAGCTGTCACAAACTGGCTCCTCAGCCCTCGCATTTACGAATGCACGAACTGCAATCTATGGAGAAGAATCTTTGTATAATAGAAACCATAGCATTGCACGTCCCAAGACCCTATGGGAGGTCGCAGGAGCAAGCTTTCGCTTGCTCCCAGCCGGACGTTAATTAAATCTACCTACCTACCTACCTGGGACCGGACTGGGTTGCTCGTTCGAGTTCCCTTTTTCCAATTAAGGGTGAAAATTCAAGAGCCAAAAAATTGGGGAATGCTTTTGTTGAAAAACAAAAAAAATGAACTAAAAAAAAGTCGTCCCTGGGAAGGCTTGAACTTCCAACCTCCCGATTAACAGTCGGACGCGCTAACCAATTGCGCCACAGAGACAGGATGTTGCTTCTTGTGGAAATAGATCGACTATGGTTGTTACTCTGCAAAAATCATTTTCCACAAGACTCTCATTCGCTCAACAACCAAAATTTATCAAAGGCGTATCCCCATCGGCAAGTGGTTTTGTGCGTGATGAGATACAGAGCATCAAGGGTTTTTTTGTGACAATTGTATCCCTCTCGAAGGATCCAGTCGCCAGAATTAAAACTTTCGTTAACCCAATCCCATAATAGTGCGACATGCAATGGGTTTGCTGGAACGTCGGAAAAGATCCGCGCAGAAGGATCTCACGAGAACTAGCGATCGACGTCGCATATTCTGCTTTTGTTCTATGTAGTTTCAAAAAAAAAATATCTGTGGGCTCAACCCAATCTCGGGGGCGATACAAGATCTGTGATTGGGAGAGGGAGATTTCACGTGTTGTTAAAACCAATTTCGGAGATCATAGTCGGGTCGATAGCCATCCAGAAAGCACCTAGCGAATTTTTAGCATTGTGCAATTCCTCCTAATTTTCCTTTGCACGGCGATTTTTAATAGGAAATGCGAAGTTGGCATATTTAGGTTTGCCGAGACTTGCAGATTGATTCCAGATGTCTGTTTTGCAAAGCCCTATGAGGGCGCGGGCATTTGACATTTTTATTAGAACATGGCTGAGGGAAACATAGAGATGCAGCTCTAAGATATAGTTAGTGGCAAAAAATACCTAATGTGAAGGAAAGCGAGACAAGAAGGAAATTTTCCGATCACGAACAGCAGCAGACTTTGAATGTGAAGGACCTCGCATGACAGCAATGATAAGCAAATAGAGGCCTGGAAGAGGAGAGATTATTAGAGATCACCAGTAAAGTATCTTGCAAATGACTAGGTATAAACCGTCACTTCTGTCCGTTGCTAATAGCTTTTCAATCGCTGGTCAAGTTTAGCATAAACTACATTGAAAGGGGAATCTATATAGATCTACCTTAGGCGATAGTTAATAAGCTCTTTTATGAGGCAGATCAATCCCTGAACAGAAACAGTAGACCCGTACTACAGTAATATCTCAAATGAGTTTACCTTCGCTTGCACCAAAGGATCGCTCGTTTCTTCTCATTGAAACAGATTTGCCATTTTCTAATCCCTGGTCCCCATTGAATATGCGCGAGGCTGTATCTCGGTGCTCCTGTTGGGTGCTATTAAGGGACCCGTTGCAAACAAAAGTTAATCATCGGGGTTGCCATCGAATGCGAGATGTCTCAAGGTCGCCAAAGAAGCAGGCGGATGGACTCCAGATCCTCCTCTTCTTCAATATCCCACATTCTCCACCTATGGGCTAAGATCGCTAGACTGCAATTCATCGCATTTGTAACAGCGACAAACACATCGGGCAGTTGGTCCCTCGGAAAGTCCCTAGATAATTGCGCGTAGCTCATTCGTATAGCGGTGTCCGCGTGTGTGATTTCAGCCCGTGCGTTGTTGCGTCGAATCATCTTGCGACCAAGGAGCCGAAGCTGCGCTAGGTCAAGATCGTCAGGTAACAGGACAGTACGGCTTTGGGTCATTTTGGTATGATTTTAGTGTTGACCTCTTAGGACAGGTCAGGGCTTTGTTCAAATATCTCACTCACTGCATCATATAGCGATATACTGTCTCTTATGGTATTTTAGACAATGGTACAAAATGTTCTGGTGTAGCTCACTGATAGCTTGGCTACCAGATATCTTGGTTCTAGAAGGTTGATTGAGCCAGTTCTGAAGGGGGTGACTGAAGTGAGAGAAGTGGGAGAAGCGAGAAAAGCGAGAGAAGTCAGAGAACTGACGGGAAAGTGGGGATGAATAGGAGAAGGGATGACCCTTCTACGATTCCCCCGATAGTTTGAAATTATAGAAACTGAAAGTAGCGACGTCCCTGGATCTAAATGGTGTGATCGCTTTAGCCTAAATGTAGTCCAGGAAATCCAACCCCTGTAGCATACTGCGGTTTAATTCAAGCTTTTCTTTGTTTAACGATTGACTCCTTTTCGTTTCTGAATTTCATTGTTCAAAGTTCCACTGATTTTGGTATGCTGTTATCGTTTTTAATGAACGGTATAGTGTTATTGTCCCCGACCCAGAGCACCAATATCCCAGGGAGGTTATTCAGCGTAGTGCGAGAAAGAGACCGAGCCACGACTTAGCTTGACAAGGCCAATGAAGCCCGCGTTGTGCAATTTTGGGGTTGAGCATCTCATTTCGAGATTAAACAGTTTGATGTGTCAGTCTTTTATGTTGGCAACTGTTTTCAGGCTGGAACGACCTAACTTGGCCGCGTGCGCACAGCCGAGCAGCGGCACTCCTCACTTGGTGATGTAGATTAAGGGCAAGCTATGTGCCCGTGCTAGGGATGCCGGGTCCTCGGGGGGGGGGAGTTGCCCCGCTCGAAGAAGACCGTTACTATCAAAGCTATCAAAGGCCAGGGGATACCAAGTTCTTCTTCTGATGGCGGTCAGGCACTTCGAGGCCCTAGAAAAATAAGGAGGTCTGAATTACATGGGAAAATCCGATGTTCAACAATACCCTCTTGTACTCTGAGATATCTGTGCCTTGAGCAAATAGTTATTGGACAGACCATGCAACATGGTCCGTATCAACAGGCCTCTACGTTACCTTACCCAATTGACGAAACGAGTCGCACTGTCACCTACTATTTATGAGGAAGAATTCAAAATTAAAATTTCCAAGGAGAAATTAATTATTAATTGCTTGATCCGGGGGCAGACCAAACGAAAAAAGGAGAGCTAGAACGGCCAGGGAGAATTCCAGGGCACAATTATAGGATGGAAGACATCGGATTTAGTTTTAATTCACTCAGCATGGCTTGCATGAATCAAAGAAATATCGATTGGGGTTCTGGGGCAAGTCTCAGCATATGTGCAGCGTTGTGGAGGTTTTGCTAAATTCTGTCATGAAATTTCCCCTGAGTAGCACGAATATCATCCACGATCTGCTGCAAAGATCGTTAGGTTGTGGTCGTAATATCATTTGAGGTAGTGAGTTGATTTTAAAGTTCCTCCAAATCATTTCCAACACACTGGTTACGAGTGCGGTAGCGAAAACTGAAGGTGTTGCCAGCGAAAGCTTGAGGGAAGTTAGTGGAAGCGGTATCTTGGTCGGTGTTAACGGGACCAGGGCGAGCTACAGGTGAAGCAGAAGCTGCAAATTTCTAACCGAATTGACAGAGGTTGTCCTATTCTTCCCAATGGCAGTTCGCGCAGGCCGAAAGACTATAGATGCCACGAACTATGGCGCACCGAGAGAACTTGCCGAACCGTTCTAGGCATCTCGTATACTGTCGCCTATCTTACCGACTCACCACTTGCATCAATGCAGCTTCCACGCGGGGCAGTCTATCATTCATCTCTTTCTGAAGCATCTGGGCTGTCCAATCGGTTCCAAGACGCAAGCACGGCTCTCGCTGATCGTTAAAGCGTCCAAAAATCTCCCCTTTAGAACATCACCTGGTCTGACCACCTGACAAGGTATTCTGTGGATATGGACGGCCCATGGTCCAGATCTTCTTATTCTATAAGCTTGGGCTGGAGCTGGGGGAAGGAGGGTTCGTCGGCCTAGTGGTCGGCCTCCGAGGCGGAAATTTTGACTATTGGCATGAGCGTGTGAGCTCAAAATGCTAGCTCAGTGAGGAGACCGTGATTTACTTGGAATCTTCTATACTTGTCTTTCAGAAGATGCGCAAAAAGGGGCTTGAGGAAGCTTAGCGAGAAGAAGTGACATCGTCAGTCTTCTGAGCCTTGAGGAGACTTTCCAAAATCGAAGCAGAAAAATAGGGTTTACCTTGGGGCACACTTCAGAATCTGCTATGTGTATGAGGTACAAAAACTAGAGATGAACGTCAGATATTTTGGCTGAGTTTGAAGAGGATCATGAGAGAAGCTTGATCAAAAAGCTGTCGATCTGACGACCTTCCTTGTCCCCACCATCTTTGATCAGCTAAGATAACTTCCCTAAATCCACTAAGGGGCTAAGAGTAATTAAATCGTCCCTAATTCACACTGACTTGAAGTGGACATATCGAAGATAGCCCTAGATGTAAACTGTAGATTCTTAGATATGCGCTAGTCCTGATATGGGTCACATCGGGCTTCGCCCATCGTGGCTCAAGGGCTTCACAGTCGCCCTAAGATACGATTTTTACCCCATAATTTTGTTCTATTTCTCCTCTCCAAATTTTTGTCCCACTTGACTGGCACGATATCTTCAATGAATGGCCAGAAAGCCACCACGTACCTTTGTAGCTATCTATCCAGATCACAGTTCAATGACAGTTAGCAATGGCGGCGAAGTTCTTTAATGCTGGATATTCTTATTGCAATGAGCAAATTTAATCCGAGGTGAACTTCTGTCGAATTTCATGATAACATGATTATAGTTGTTATAATGGTAGTAGCCGGTTAGGTTTTCAAGACTTGAAGAACCGGGCCGTGATTAATTTTGCCATCTCTGAGCTCAAAGGCTCGTCCAAGTGTCGGCAGCTTCAAGATCCAGCAGCAACCAGACTTTCTCAGCGGCTTCACCGGGGAAATTTCGGAGTTGCAAACTGTAGAGAATGAGCTGTAGACGTTGATAATAGACGTTGATAGTCTCCAACCTACAACACACCACGAAATACTCGAGCGGATAAAGTCCAAGCAGGGAAGGATACAATTCTCAGGCCGTGGGAGCCCCTCCAAAACCCCTTGGGACAAACGTGTATGTTGTAGGAAAATGTGGGAGAAGCGGGAAAGATTTACTCCGCCGTGGCCATGAAGCAGCGACACAGCCGGCAGGATAACTCGGGCACTGCACCGTTCAAGATCTTATTTTCAAAGAAATCCCTTGTATCAATTTTCTTTGCCATCTTGCTTTGGCTAATTAACTCATCCAATTTTTTGGTCGTTTTGACATCTGTCCCAGATACATCGTTTCCACACACCCCGAAAAAATGACGAAAGCACCTCAAGATTTACAAATCGCCATTTTGGGTGCAGGCATGGGCGGTCTGACTTCTGCTTTGGCTCTTGCTCAGCAGGGATTCAAGTACATCGATGTCTATGAGAATGCAAGTGATCTTGGCTTTGTCGGCGCTGGCATTCAATTGGCACCTAACATGGCCCGCGTTTTGGATGGACTTGGTGTTTGGAAGGGCATTGAGGCCGAGGCCGTGAATATTGAGGAAACTTCAGTGCGAGGTGTGTTCCGGGATAACAATGTAACAAGATAATGGGATCTAATTTATGGACTCAGACGGCGCAACGGACACTGAGCATGCATATGTGGATCTACGCTACATTGAGAAGACATACGGATATAAACACATGGTTGGTCATCGTGCATCACTAGCCAGTGGACTATATAACGGCTGCAAGCAACACCCCGCAATCAAGTTCCACTTTGGAATCAATGTAGATAACGTGGACTCGTTCGGCCCTCGGCCATCATTCACAGCTAGCCCCCGTGCCGAGGGAACTGCCCCGTTCAAGGTTGAGTGTGATGTCCTGCTCGCTGCCGATGGTATAAAGAGCATCACCCGCGTCGAGATGCTGAAGCGACTGGGGGTTAATGTTGGCGTCAAGGACACCCAACAGGCCGCGTATCGTATCATGATCCACAAGGAGCAGATCAAGGACGACCCCGAGCTTTTGGCCCTCATCAACAGCAACCGTGTAACCCGCTGGATTGGCGCAAAGCGTCACATTATTGCTTACGCCGTTTCTAACAACACCATCTACAACATCTCCACTACCCAGCCCGACACCAACTTTGCAGCCGCCACAAACGCCACTTACACCACCAAGGGCTCTAAGCCTGCCATGATGGGTGTCTTCGCTGACTTCTGTCCCATGGTCCAGCGCATGCTAAAATACGTTCCCGAGGGCGAGATCTGCGAGTGGAAGCTGCGCGTCCATGAGCCGCTCCCCACTTGGATTCACGACTCCGTCGCTTTAGTTGGTGATGCTTGCCACCCTACTCTGCCCCACCTCGCTCAGGGTGCTGCACAGGCTATTGAAGACGGAGCTGTTATCGGTGTGGTTCTCTCCAAGCTGCCGGATACCACCCCAGAGTCGATCAACAAGGCTCTCCGTGTTTATGAAAAAGTTCGCAAGAGTCGCGCTGAAGCTTTGGTCGAGATGGCCAGCGCTTCTGGTCGTGCCCTGCACTTGGGTGACGGTGCTGCCAAGGAGGAGCGTGACAAGCAGTTCGCTGCCCTCCGCGCTGGCAAGGGTCCCGTGCCTGATAAGTGGGCCGATGCCGATGTCCAGCGTGAGATCTATGGCTTTGATTGCACTAAGGTCACTTCGGATAGTTTTGACGAGTACTTCTCGCAGATGTAAGCATTTTTCTTTGAACAATTGTTATTACATTTGGTAGATCCTTTTTTGCACATTGGATAGTATATTTTAATATGCCTATAGCCTTCGATCTATAAATCAGAAGATATGAGACTATCACAGCATTGACAGCCAGTTTTCCCCTTCAAGAGCATGTTTAACTATTCTCATTCCTACAAGAATGTCAAACCCCGCCGCTCTAAGCATGCATGGAATCTAGGCAGCTAGGCAGTACATACTGTGTCGCATCCATCTTTGAATATCTGTGCAGAAAGGTCTTCTGATCGCCTTGACATGTCGCATTTTATCACAGTCCACTCCGTGCTATAATTCGTCATCCATTTGGAAGGTTGTGAAGCCGAGGAAAATTGATACACCCCAAAGGGCATCCAATGGGGCACAATGGCGAGGCCATGGTTAGTGAGCTGATGTAGTTCAGTGATATGCTGAAACGGCGCATTGGGGCAACTCCGTGTTGCAATGCTTTGCCTCTGAGGAGGGGCGTGTGATGGCCGCAGAAAGATATTTTGATATTTGTATCTCGAGGGTGAATCAGGCGAGTATTCACCACGTTAACTCGGACATTTTTCAGGTTTGGCTTAAACACAAAGGGTTATAAATTGTGCTGTCAGCGGTCCTACGTGTGGGCTAGAGCGCTGGAGCCTCCGCTACATTACCGCGGAAGTTGTCACAGTTTCGGTTAAATCAGTGAAGAACAATCGATGGTGGTCTTCGTAATTCTACTTTTGGATCGCCTCGGTTGAAAAATCCTTGTGTCTTCAGCTGAAGACCCAAGTCACGCGGAGAGATATTGACCATTCCCATCACGGATAAGCATGTGATGTGTCTTCAAATTGAGATATTCGATTTTCCCAATTTTCGAAGCTATAACAATTCCTTTTTTTGCTTCTTTATAAGAGCTCTTTTTGGTTATTTGTGGTTTATGTGTGGAATTGAGCCGTAAAACAATTTGCGCGATGGCCGATTTCCCCCGCAACCTCGGCGCGAACCTTCAAGTTCACAGATCCGTCCAACTGGGTGCATTGAACCTGGGCCATGGTGTTCTGTCCAGAAGTTTGATCATATTCAATAAATGCCTTTTCCGGCAGTATGTCTACAGCGTGATTTCTCGATCCTTCAAGCTAATCAAACTGGTCATAGACTCCATCACCATTCCGCCTCTCCCGTCGTAACCCACCCACGCGCCGCAGTGGCCCTCAATTCGCGCCTACGCCTCGGTTCTTGCTATCACAATGTGTAACACAAAAGGAAGATGACAATCTCGATGTGATTGATGACGATGGGCCATCTTCAACGCGTAAAGTCGCGCGCAACCCGCCCGTTACCCAGAGTGCTTCCCGCTCGCACCAACAACGGGACGTGATCGAGGACTCTGATAGTGCTGCAGATATAGGGGATGTAAGGATCGGAGGGAGAAATTTGAACGATCTACCAGATGACGCTATAGACTGCACTCCTCCTGAAGAACCAGGAACCCCTGGCATCCTGGACGCTGAGTTTGATGCACTGTTTGCGCCGGTCCGAGATGGGAATAAACGACGTCGTGTGGAGGGAGCGACCCTCTTCAGCCAAAGCGATTTAACTCAGCCTGATTCAATATTGTCATCACCACCCGTAACTACGAACTCTCCAGCTGATATCATCGATTTGCCCGATGAAACCAGGCAAAGCACAACGATATGGGAGATGGGTACACAGAGAACTCCCGCACCCAGTGCACGTCCACTTGCACCAGCCGCATCAACCCCAAGAAACATAAAAACACCATTCCGCAGTCGCCCTCGGTTTATGCTTTCCTCAGCGGTGAAGCCTCCCAGCAGCCAGTTCGCACCCAAATTCAAACTAGACACACCGGGCGTATCGCCGCCCGAGAGACGGAAACCGGCTTTTGTTTTGCCTCGCTCGCCGTCGCCGAACCCGGATGCAGAGGATACCCCTGCGCCGTTCTCTCCCTCCTCCTCCTCGCGCACACTGCATCGTCGTGGTCGAAACCAAGCCGGGATGTCCAATTATATTCTCGGAGGAATGGCTGCCGAGGTACGTGGCTGGATCTTGGAAATGGGAACGAAACGTGACCATTTGCCATATCCGCCCTTGGTTCAAGCTCCAGACTTGCGGATGGCGGATGCCTCACCGGAAATGCCGAATGCATATCTCCTAACTGCGCGTGTCATTCATGTCAGCCAGTCAGCTCTGAGCGGCTGTGGCTCTCTCGCCTTTCTTCAAACAGAAGTTCTTACTGGGAATCTTGTGCAAGGGAGAAATCCTCACCCAGACTTGAACATCATGATAATGGGACCTTCGCGATCTAAATCCGCTCTTCGTCCATCTCACTTGCATTCTGATGCCACTACGATACCCTATCTGCGGAAAGGAGACTTAGTGGGGATTCACAGAGGGCTTAATTGGAGCTTGGAGCTTGAGAATTCCTTCTACGAACATCGAATACCCGGGCAAGTATCTGGCCATGAGTTGGAGTGCGGTCCATCTGAAAACGGCGGACATCCAAAGACAAAAGAGGGCTGGCTCATAGCCATGGAATGGGACCTCGTTGAAGCAGCTGAATGAGTTTTGCACACTTATATCATTTACACCAGCCTGTGTCCTATCTCTATCGAATACTTCACCATCACAGCCTGTGAATGCCAACGAAGATGCTGATATACATGTGCACTGTGGGATCTCTTTGATGTCAACTTTTCTGGGTCGACTGCAACCAGAAAGCGCAAGAGGGGAGGTCAATCTAGCGCCAAGCGCCGGAGGACGAGTTCCTCAATGGAGACCATATCCCTGGAGTCGACCAACTCCAAGACCTCGCACAAACGCTTACCCAACAAGGAGCCCAAGAGAGATGATAGTGTGACCAAGTCTGGCAAGTCGCGGGGTGTGCAGCAGGCCACCTCTCCCTCGCGTACTCAGCCTGAACTATCACCCAAGGCATCATCGGAACCGAAGGCCGCAATGGACTCTGTCTCTACCAAGCACACAAAACCACTTGAGCTCCCAGATCTTCCACCTTCGGAGTTCATCTACCCCCGCAAGTTGGATTTGGGTATATTGGAATGCTTATCTGACGAGAGGGAGACAACCCACGAGTCAGTCTCCGACAACCCGTCCGAGCAGCTCACGGAAGTCTCCACGCCTTATACCCCAGTTTTGCACGCAGTGTCACAGTACAATCAGCGCATCCGGAGCCACTGTGGGAGCAAATGTGAGACATGGCTGACACGCCAGATGTACGATGAGTTGGGCGATATCTCTACTCGCATTGAAAAGATTATGCATGGGACCACGGTGATGCTAGAGGAGAGGGAGGCCAGGGATGAATTTGCGAGTGTTAGTTTAATTGGTACAAGGAGAGGTGCACCATGTTTCTTCTATCACATTTCTAATCGTTAAATGCCAAGTCCCAATAATCCTAGAGCCATAGCAAATCATTCAGGCTCATTCGAAAATGAATAACCCTGCAGCTCTTGAACCCGAGATCGGAATTTTAATAACACTCTTTCGGAAATGCAGAATTCTGCTTCGAAAATTCCCATCCCTCTTGCTTCTGTGACATTGTACTCGTCGTAGTGGTCATACAAGCATCCATCTTGGAACCTTTTCGAAGGAAAGGCCAAGCGTATCAAGCTTGCATTCCTTATATTCCATTGTTTCTTCAAGTTCTTTGAGCAGCAAGTGTAAAATATCCAACACATTAGCTGGAAATATGGAGATTTGAAGACTGTAGATGGACCCCTATAACTCACAATACAGCAATGCTCGACAAAAATTGTCTCGGTTCCAGGTGGCCAAGAAGCCAATTTCAAATCTATCAATTCTAAGGCTTTGGCATCCCTAGGATTTGAATTCTGTCGGCTCGCTTCAATCATTTAACAACTCGGGCACATGATATTGGATGATGCTCCAAAAGAAAGGACGTTTCACCAGCTACGAGACATATCATCCTGCCTCAACGCAGGCCATTCATCAGAAGGGGTGTTGAAGCGAGCTTTCTTGCCTCCGGCGGATGGGTCACGCCACTTGAATAGGTTCGTGTAGCCTGTATCCTTCTTTTCAACCACATCCACGACATGCTCTCCCAGAACTGGCAGGAACTTGAAGCCATGTCCACTTCCTCCACTGGCAACCACTAAGCCCTCCGTGCCTGGAACACGATCAATCAAAAAGCTGCTGTCCACGGAGTCGGTGTACCAGCACAAGCGAGTCGAGAGCGGTAGACCCACAAGATCTGGCATGTTCTCCTTGCAAAATTCGCGAATGTTCTCCATAGCCTTGTTCGGCAGACCTATTGGACTAGTTTCGGGGTAGGAAATCAAGCGCCCTTGAGCGTTGCTGTATGCCAGATTCGTCCACTTTGTCCCGCGGAAACCGATCTTAATCACACCGTCCTGGGTGCGAGGGAAACCATAAATACCCCCGACCTCAGTGCCCTGCAGCTTTTTTCCAGTAAGGCGCCAAGACCAGCAAGGGAACTCTGAGGAACTGTACTTCTTCCACAAATCAGGTCGCTCATTCTGAGGTGGCAGTTGGATTTTCACAACACTTCCCGCTGTGGTTTGAAGCAGATCAGCGACCTCTGGAACGATGGATGGAGTCCATCCACCTGCAGCAACGATCACCAGGTCTGCAGGGAATGCAGTGCCCTCGACCCCAGTCTTCACGCCGGTGATTCTAGAACCCTCGCGGATAAATTCTCTGAACGCGAATTGTTTGCCGAGCTTGGTTCGAACTCCCAGTTTCTGGCACAAATGAAGCACCCATGAGCACGATTTGTCCGCGGCAACATATCCACCAGTTCCGTCGAAGATACCATCGATACCAAGCCCTCGTTGCGAGCGATCAAATGGATCGAGCTTGGTCGAAGGAATACCATTCATCCGAGCATCCTCCCTGCGAGACTCGTCTGACAAGCGGTACTGAGTATCCTTGAGGGCCTCGGGGAAACTGTCCTGGGTGGCTTTCTCTTGTGGGTCGAGGCCAGCCAGTTCGCCCGCACGAAGAAATCCACAATTGTCCCAAAGACGATCATGGAAAAAGAGCGAATCGGGCAAGTCGCTTGAATTTCGAACATCCGAGTTCCACTCATCCCAGAGATCAAGGGCCTTGAAAGCAAGGCTTTCGTAGAGTTTCTGTGTTCCATACGAGGCCCGGATGATCTTGTTCTGATCAGCACTGGCTGCAGCACTAGTGTAGCCAGTCTGGTCATAAGCCTCACGGTCAAGAATAGTGACATTTTTGTAGCCACGTCGTGCGAGATGCAGAGCCGTGCTCAACCCGAAGACACCTGCACCTACGACAACGATGGGTTTATGAAACGCCAAGGTATCTTCGGCGACGGAGAACCTGCCTGACAATCCCAAACTCTGACACAACTTGGATGTAACTGCCTGGTCAATCTGATCCACAACCCTTGTACCAAGAGAGATACCCAGCGGTTCAAGAGTGGTCGGTAAGGTGGCAATAAACAGCGCGTCCAATTGTGGGTGGCGATCAATCAAGCCAGTACGTTTCTCTGTAGACACAGACAATGCCAACTTTGATCGCGAGAAAGGTTGATCAGCAGCTTCAGGTAGAACCTCCGCCAGATTGCGTCGAATCTCTCGCTCGGTTTTGGGAGCGAGTGACCAGGCACATGATTCAGCGTCTGACACGTTGACATCGCCGTAATCATTCAATTCCAGGGTACACTTGAACTCTCCGTTCACTGGAGGAAAGACGGTAAATCCAGTCGAAAGGTTGGTCAAGACGGGAATGTCTTTGTATTTCTTCAACACTGAGTCGGATGGCTTGAGCCAGGTAGCATCGTAACCAGTGGCTTTCATCAGCGACGAAAGGCCAAACAGCTTGTGACAGAGAAGATCGTCAGTCACTACAGCGGTTTGAGCTGTGATCTCAGAGCCGCCATTCAGGATCAGTCCCTTAAAAACATTGTCCTCAATAATTGGACGTTGAATATCAACACCAAATTTGAATGTGATATTGGACCGGCCTTGGCACCGACGGTACAGAATCAACAGGAGCTGTCTTAGATCAACAATGGCAGTAGATGGGTCAAATACCGCCTCCTGCCAGCGGGATTTAGGAAGCTTCGAAGTTTCGACGGTCTCAGCATTCGAGGCTGTGATAATGCTCCGGATGCTCTCGGGCGAAGAAAGCAACTTGGAGCTGCTCTTTTGGTCATCAAGGCCAAGTACTGTTCTTCTTTCTGCCAAGATCTTGGTGCTTCTAACATCGCCTTTCACAAGGGCACAGATTTCACCGCGCGTATAGAGACAGTGTCGAAGTTCTGGGTCTTCGCGTAGGATATGCTTGGCATCGGCCTCCAAAGTCGGAATTGCCGAGGACTGACAATCGTTTCGCAGTTGTCGAAGGTCCACTGCCGAGGATGCTTCGCTGCTATCAAGAGTATTCTCGCGTGATAATACTATGATGTGAGTGGCAGGATGGCGCGACGAGAAGGCCAAGGCTGTCGACAAGGCCAAAGCACCACTGCCGATAATGAGGAGATTATCAGTGGAGGCCATTGTGAATGCTCAAAAGAAACCGAGAAGAATGGCACAATTGGCACACCCGATTGTTTCTATCGCAATTGATGTTTGAATTTTCCCGTGCAATTGTAGCCTCCATCGGTCTTGGTGGTCTATAAATACCCCAGTAAGATAGAATCGAACAACCCTAGTGTGCACCCACTCGGCTGACATTCATGAAAATGCCTCATAATGTGCAATACGTGTCTCACGGCTTGACTGGTCTCCTCCTCTGAGTACCTTCTGATTTAGTCAGACAAGGGTCTTCTTGACGCCATACTAAGTTATGCAGAAATACGAAATGGGCTCATGCCGATGCGACCTGGAATCCACATGGCTTTTCTCCACATGGCTATTCTCCACAGTATCCTGGTAGGTCTTGTTTTGCAAATACGAGGTATCGAAATACCATCCATGACAATTTTGAATACCTGCTAGATGACAACAACATCGGGGGCGGACTGTGAAGTGTGGGCGAGCTTGGTAGAGTCAGCAGTAATAAAGCAGGACTGCTGCACGACCAAGGCGCTTCAAAAAAAAAATTTTCTCACTCCTCCGTTCTTGCTCACTCGTCGTTCTAGTCAAGATGCTTATCGACCTCACTTCACTGAACCCACTGCCTCTAACCCCATCAATGGGCCAACCTGTGCCTAATGTGGAACATGCTGTTTCAGTACAACTGCCCACCTGGGATGACATTAAGGAAATGTTTACCGGCGCGCCTCGGGTAAAGAATGCTCAGCTTACTGGCTATCCGCGTTCGTTTATCCACGATGATGTCAAAAAGGTGCGTTTTCTGAAAAACCATGCTCGTCTTTGCTCTGACACAAACCTTGCTTCAGTTTAATCAAGCATGCCTTGACAAGTTCTCCAATGACAAAAACGCATGCTTCTTCTTTCCTTCCCTTGACTACGCATGGGCATGTCGTCGTTTTGCGACATCGGTGGAAATCCACGGAGAAGCAGCTTTACCGGATCATATTTTGTCTATTCGCTCACTTGAGATCGAGCTAAAGCCAGCCAAAGAAGACGAGAGTCATGATTTTATCACTCTCCACGGTGTTTTCTGCCCCAAGGATCGTGAACTGCTCCTTCACACTTTCTGGCGCTTGGTTGGCGTCGGTATTTCCTCCCGTCTGGCTCAAAACCTCAATGCTCGAATGCAAACTCTCCGTGATATAAGTGGTGACACCGCGCGCAATGAGTATCCAACCGTGCGTGGCCGATGGTCTGAGCGCGCTCATCGCAAGCTGTGCCAGCGTATTGCCAATCTTCTTGAGCGGGCTCCAAGCTGTACGACCCGGAGTGAAGTCGTCGCTCGCGATGATGTTTATCTCTATTCCACCGGGATGGCAGCCATTTACCATACGCATCAGCTCCTGCTCCACTGGCGCGGAACTTCCTCTGTGGTCTTTGGTTTCCCATACGAACTCACTCTCAAACTCGTCGAGACCTTCGGCCCTGGAGCAAGGTTCTTCCCTTTTATCAATGAAGCTGACCTCGAGAAACTGGAAGAGCACTTGGCACAGCAATCTGCTGCTGGAACGCCGGTGCAGGCCATTTGGTGCGAATGTCCTTCCAATCCTCTGCTGCGCACGGCCAACATGCAACGAATCCGCGCTCTGGCAGACAAGTTCAAGGCTGCTGTCGTGGTTGATGAGACCGTTGGCGGGTTCGCCAACGTTGATTTACTGGGTGTTGCCGATATTTTGGTTACTTCATTGACCAAGAGCTTCAGCGGGTCTGCTGATGTTATGGCGGGAAGGTAAGGGCTAGCGATAACTCTCTGCTGCACAACGTTCGCCTTTCTCACTTTTCCTTTTAGCATCGTGTTGAATTCTTCCTCCCCTTTCTATGAAGCCTGGAAGAATTACCTTGAGACGAACTACCAAAATTGTCTTTACGGTGGTGATGCTCAGAAGCTTGAAGAAAACAGCCGGGATCTGTTGATGCGCACGGCGCACATCAATAACAGCGCCAGCTACTTGGCTGAGGCCCTTCAGCCGCTGATCAACGATCCAAAGAGCGTCATTACTCATATCTATCACCCGAAGCTAGACCCTCAGTCCCAGAATTACCGCTCTCAAATGCGCCAGCCGACCGAAGAGTTTACTCCCGGCTACGGCGGGCTGTTCACCCTTCAATTCGAGGATGCTGAGATGGCAAGTGTCTTCTTTAATGCCTTGAATGTGCACAAAGGTCCATCCCTTGGAGCCCCTGTCACACTGGCCCAGCCTTACGTGCAAACGGTTTTTCACAAGCAGAAAGCCTGGGCTGGGGAGTGTGGCCTGCACGAGTCGATCGTCCGGGTGTCAGTTGGACTAGAAGACAAGCGTGCTCTTTTAGCTGCGTTCCGAACAGCGCTGGCTGTGGCAGATAACTCTAAGGCTTCTCGGGTTCATGGAGCAACCGGCGAAAATGAAGACCACTCTGGAGCCAGCGGAGTGACGGAGAAGGCTGCGACCATTTTGGACTCTACATCTGCGGAGGACATGGCAATGAGCGAAAAGAGGTAGATAGAAAAATTTCCTGGCCTTAATTTCTTGAGGAACTCCAGTATAGTTGCTGCAAATTATAAACAAAGGAACCACTTCTTTTAACGACAACTTGAATATTTGAAACTAGAACTCCGTATCGCCCGCTATCTTGCCTATTGTTTTTGCATAGCATCTTCAAGACACCCTCGGACCCCGTATGTTTCAGAAAATGAACGTTTACCCACATTCGCCACATTGCGTCTTTACTTTGCGCACTGTCCTGCCTTTTTTTGGGACTCTCCACGCGGGTCCAACCTACCGGCTAATCGTACTATGGGACTTCATACAGGAAGCCTCGGATGCAGTCTCGGATAGTAAGGTGAGGGAGTTGATCTAGGGCGCTCGAATAATGCAAGCCGTTATCATAATTGGTAGCCATAACCGATTGGTAGATAGGTACAACATAGAAAGCAGAGGTTTTTTTTTTTTACCAGATTACATAATTAAATATATAAATTCATTTTGGAGTTCTGTATGTAATTGAACTGAAATGTGAAAAATACCGTAGAATGGGGGCGGGAGATCCACGCGGGATTTCGTTCCGGGTTACCCGCAGATCCTCAAAGTACGGAAGATAGTGGGGCCTATCCAGTCGGGCCTAGGTCCCCAAACTACAAAATTTTATGGGGACAACAACTTATCAGGGCAATGAAAAGATTATCGTCAAGGAATGAAAATCCGATGTCGGAGTTTTAAAATTGCTTTGAATTGTGTTTGGAAACTCATGCGGATCATCCATTTGCATGTAACGAGATGTCACAAGGAAACGCTGTATTGCCCAGTGAAATTTTCAAACGATTGTTATTTTGAACTAGCTTGACGTCTTACCGACGTGCATATCAAGAAATGCAACATCACGACTTCGCGGAGTACAGGGCTCGAACGTTCCAGATTCGTAATCTCCCTCAGAATGGCATAAGCAAAGACCCATCGGCTTCATTGTGATCAATCAACCCTTGTGGACGATTTTTGGCTTGAGAAATTGCCGAGGAATCTGCGAGAAGACTGTCAGTGGTCCTATATGAGCCAGGCATGGGGTCCTTATAGGGTAGAGGACAAGACATCGGCTGCAGATAATCAAATCTCTAAATCTTCCTGCTCTCTCCGCGCCCTCTTTTCAGAATGGAGTATACCGTCTACGGCTACGAGGTATTTGGTTCTTTTCGGCTGTTTTCGGATAGTTTCTCTTCTTTTTTTCAAATCCAATTGACGTTGTGTGTTCCTAGGGTAATCCTCGAACCCGCATCATCCGCATAGTGGTATGTCCAAGCCAGGCTCTCGGACTTCAAGTTGCCGAACAAGCCTAACCATACCTAGGCTGCGCTTGAGGGAATTCCCCTACATCTGTCAACCGTAGTCCCTCGGATGTATGTCAATACGGATACATACACTTCCGAGTTCCCCCTCAGCCGAGGCAAGGTGCCTGCCTTGAAAGGACCTAACGTGAAAATCACCGAGGTCATCGCAATTGCAAATGTAAGTTATGACCAACGGTTGCGAAGTGTAAGACTGGACTCACAACGTAATAAGTACCTCGCTAGGGTTCACAACCGGGCGAAGCTTTTGGGAAATGGTTCGAACGAGCAAGCCGCGGAAGTTCTATCATGGGTGAGCTGGGCGAACCAAGAGATGCTGGGTACTCTGGCTTCCTGGTAAGTTATGGCTTCTGCCTTGCAGTTTTTGGCTTCAATTATCTCCAGTCTTCCCTAACGATGTGCAGGTTCTTGCCTTTGATTCCGAATCTGAAGAAGCCGGCACCCTACAATGCGCAGGCTGTTGAAACCGGCAAAAGTGCATCCAACCACCTCCTGGGTCTTCTCGAAAAGACCTTGGAGTCCAAAACGTACCTTGTCGGCAAGTCTCTCACTATTGCCGATCTTTTTGTAGCGATGTACCTGGCCCGAGGAATGGAGTGGGTCCTGGATGCCGACTGGCGGGCTTCGCATCCAAACATCATAAAATACTTCAATGGTATCACATCCATTGACCAGTGGAAGACCGTCATCCCGCAGATGAAAATGATTGAGAAGGAGACTCCGAACGAAGATCCATATGCTCAGGAGTGATCTTGTTCCATGAGGTCATGAAATCCGGTTCATCTCTACAATTCAAATTTGTCAATTTCGCCCCCGCCCAGGTGTGTTTTTGTTTCAGAAAGATTTTTCCGTAGATCGCGATCCGTCTATTGCAACCAGCCAAGCGGACTCATAAATCAGACGTGTCAGATTATAATGACCAGTGTGTGGTTTTCTAAAATCATGCTCAAACAGTTCTTTCAAGTAGTTGAATCTAGTTCGACGAGGTTGGTTGTTCTCCGGCCCCACTCATTTAATTTCCGTCCAAAGCCACAATGTACCTATTTTACCACCATAAGCCCAGCCTCCGCTTTGCTCGAATGCACTTGGTTTGAGTTGGACATTAGTGCATTGTTTGAACTTTTTGTTCGGAAAGAAATCGAGAACCTTCTGGGGACCTAGTTTAATCTGAAGGTAGCTTAAGGAAGACACTGCTATCGAAGCAATGAGAGCCCTAACCAAATTAGGAATATTTTTTACTGGGTAAAGGGGTTTAACCCAAATTTACAGTTCTCTTTGCTTTGTAAAAGAAAGAAAACTGTACAACTACAAAGTAGAAAAAAATAGTGAAAGGAAGAAAATGCATCGTTTGATAAAAGTGATATCAGTCCAAAAAATAAGAGCCCATAGCTTACTAGTGCAGCGGCCGTGCTCAATCCCTTTTTTTCTTAAAATAAAAGAAAACAATCTACTCGTCGTATGCTCCGCCCACATTCAGAATCGACCCCAGCCATGATGCACCGCCAATAGTAGACTGCCACATTGTCCTCAAAAGCTCTAGGCCGTCACTAACCGGGGAAACGGACTGTATTTGGTTTCTCACCTGCAGCCTTTGCAAGAAATCGCGAATGAATCCGTTGATTTGCTCCGTCTCCAAAAGAAATCCGTCGTGGCCATCGTCAGAAATGATCTCCTGGTGAAATGAATTTGGGATTCCCCGGTGCAACTCCAATTGCTCTTCGAAGGTGAAAAGCACATCCGAACGAATGCTCAGCACGAGTGCGGGCTGCTTAATCAATGCCAAACTTTCCTGAATAGTAGATGATCGACCACGAGATACATCGTGTGTGTCGAGTTTGTGCGTGAGTGCAATATAACAGTTGGCGTCGAACCGATCAACGAATTTATCCCCTTGGTATTGCAGGTAAGATTGAACAGAAAGTAGAGACAGTCCATTTTTTTGGGTTGTAACGCTTTCTTTCTTTCCCTCATGAAGTTTCCGTCCAAATCGTGCCTGAAAAGACTTCTGACTTCGGTAAGAAAGCATCGCGGCCATTCGCGCGGCTGCTAAGCCCATAGCAGGCGACTGTTTGGCATTAGTATGTACACCATTTTGTTAAAACTAAGGATTTATCACTCACTTCGTCCTGATTGTAGCGTCCGTTGCCTACAGTATGGTATAGTTAGCGGAGTGGCCAATCCAGCAGAGATGTCAAAGATTAAACGGACGGAATCGAGTATCGCTGTATATGCATTGTCGTTGCATCTCTCCCCATCCAATGCCCCATGCGCTGTAGCTCGCAGAGGTCGCAATTGGTATGATACTCTTGACATATTCGGGGCCAAAGTAGGCAAACTCCATTACATGCATCCCACCCATCGAGCCTCCAATAACTGAGAGGATTTGTGTTACTCCGAGGGATTTCAGAGCCAAACGGAAAAGTCTACCGTTGTCAGCAACATCGCTCCAGGAGAGGAAGATTTCCTAGCCAAACCTACCGAACATCGTCTCGGATGCTGGTCAAGGGGAAGTCAGGCCCATAGGAACCCAAGGATGGATCACCATTCTGGTCAGTCAATGGACTGGCAGTTCCATACGGGGACCCTAGGCAGTTCATGCACACAATGAAATACTTTGAAGGATCTAGTGCTGCACCAGGTCCGTATTCCAGAAGAGACCGCCACCACACACCAACTTCTGCACTTCCACTCAGAGCATGGCATATCACTATGACATTATCCCCGGAGGGCGAAAGCGTGCCATGTGTGGTGTAAGCCACGGGGATATTCTTCATCGACCCTCCAAACTCAAGATCAAGTTGTGGTACTCGGGTGATTCTCTGAGTAGGAGGCTCGCATCGTTTCGTATGTGCTGTTTCCATATTTCTGTCTATAGTCTTGTTAAGCCGATCTTTATCCTATGATGACTTATATACATACCAGTTGCAAGGCCAGACACCATCTTTGTGTCCTTGTCTCTAGATACTCGAAAATCTCACCAGCGGAATGGAGGTCGATAAAAGCATGTCTGACACGCAGCAAGGAACCTCAAGGCCAGACCGTGGGGAGACACGTCTACTTGCCTGTGTTGCATAATCGAATAGCGTAAGACTCCGACACAATCTTGCAGAAACACTAGCCTTCCAAAGCATTGAGTAATCATTGAGGCTCCACCGGTTTGGAAGGCCGGTGATAATGTTGATTCTACGGAATTCCATCCAGACCCATTCTTCAATTTCCCGAAAGCAACCTTGGGAGCAATGGCTGCATCAATGGACTTATATCGGATATTTTCGCGTGCACATAAGTGGGTCGTGCAAGCAGTTCTGGAGTTGGAGCCCCGAGCCCAGGTCGCAACGTGCTCCACTTCCTGACGATGATTTGCGCCGGAAGGGCCGCGCGCAAGATCAAGCAAGGTACTCCCGATTATTCCATCAGAATCAGCAGAAATACCGCAAGACGCTCGATTCAGAACAAGATGCATGAGGGCCGTAAAGGAGCTCAGTGGGGCAGAGAGCGGTATTTAATCGGAGTTACATGTCAAAAATTTGCAAAACTCGATACGCCGCCTGTAAATTGTCATCTGAAACCGAATGCAGAAGCCAGATCTTGGCATTCTTCTTCTGTTCAGAGAAAATAATATATACTTGGTCATTCGAATGGCTTAATTGCGGTCGATCTTCGAGTGGCCGGTCTGGACAAGCTGAAGGATTCGCGCTAGCGCACATAGTCCCTCATTTGTCCGTGTTGGAACATACACCTATATGCTGTTCTGTTAATAGCGAGTTGATGAATACTTGAAACCTAGAGGCCACCCGCATTGTTGGTACGAATTCTCAATTCTTACTCGAGCTGTAGCCAGCTTCCACATTCATCATGGATGCTATCGATCTCTATGAGACACCGCCATTGGCTCTGGGCAAGCCAGTTGGGATGAATCTTCTATCTGGACTCAAAAGCCTCGGCCCATCCACCCCACTGCCTTGGGTTGTGCAAAAGTTCGGAGGGACAAGCCTTGGACACTTTGCCTCCAAGATAGTCAAGGAGGTTATTCTGTATGTGACATGCCCCAGAAACAGAGCTACGCCAGATCCTTACCGTTACCAAGGCCAGAGGCATTGGAAAATAGAGTGGCCGTCGTCTGTTCAGCTATCAGCCGATCAACTAAAGATAATGGCACAACAAATAGGTAAAGATACATTGTTCATGAACGCAGGGATCAGACATATCATTAATGCATGACCAGACTACTCCTCGCTTGCAGTCGGCTTGAAACGGATGGCGCAGACTTCTCTAAGATTATCGACGATGTACAGCTCGAACACATCCAAGGAGCTGAGCGAGATATCCAATCACTGGAAATTCGGACCCGGCTGATTGAAAAAATTCGATCCGAATGCGCTTCTGTGGTGAAGACACTCAATGCAGCGTACTTCCTGGGTGAAATCAGCCCTGCGTGTGTGGGGAAGGTTGTCAGCGCCGGTGAGAGACTGAGTTGTCACTGTCTCGCGGCAATCTTACAAGAACACGGATGTGAAGCAACCTGCGTCGATGTTAGCGAGTTGATCCCATCGACGGCAGCTCCAGTTAGTTGGACGGACAGAGGATTTGTGGACGCGGTGGCTGCAGAGCTCTCACAAAAAGTCTGTTCTGTGCCCGGCATTCCTGTCATCACCGGTTACTTTGGACTTCAGCCCGCAGGAGCCTTGCTCGATCTTGTTGGACGTGGATATACAGATCTGTGTGCAGCACTCGTTGCCACGGGCCTGAATGCTGTCCGATTGCAGATCTGGAAAGAAGTTGATGGCGTTTTCACGGCAGATCCTCGCCACGTTCCAGATGCGAGGCTACTCTACTGGCTCACAATTTCCGAACTGCGGAGTCTTACATTTTACGGGTCCGAAGTGGTGCACTGCGCAGCAGTTGATGTGGCGAGGGACCGAAATCTCACCATGTCCATTCGCAATGTTGCTGACCCACTGGGGCCCGGGACCCTTGTTACCCCTAAAGTTGATGCTTCAAATGACCAGCTAGTGGCTATTACCAAAAAGAACTACATGGCTATTCTGAGTGTCCGCAGCTCGGCCGGTACGTCAGGCTTTAAGTTTCACAGCCTCATTTCGAATATCCTGCAGAAATGGCAGCTTACTGTGGAGCTGGTCACAACCAGTGAATCCGGAGTCTCACTGGCGATTCCTATGCCAGAAAATGAAGCTTACGGTGCTCATCAGCCGGCGGATGTAAGACTTTGGTGGGCCATCGAGGCGCTCAAAGTACACTCCACTGCAGTCAAAGTCAGCAAAAACATGGCTCTACTCTGCGTAGTTTGCCGACTCGCGAGCTCCACAGACTTTGCATTAGCGTGCATTCTCCGAGTATTAAGCGATCTGAGAGTCCCGGTGAAAATGGTCATGCACGGTGAGTCGGAATTCCGAGGCTGCTGATCTTCCACTTCGGAAGTTCGCGTATAGACTTGATTTACTGAAGTTTTCAAAATGAAATAGGTGCGATTGATGCAATTGTGGGATGCGTAATTGAAGAAAAGTACGCACAATTTGCCACCAAGGTACTCCACCGAGATTTATTCTCGGTACAGAGAGTCGATAGTCCAGTCTCGGAGACTATAGTGCCGAATCTCGACGAGATAAAGTAGCTGATACTGACCCGGAATAACCAGGGTCAATGAGACACGGGATACGAACTCATTTCATTCATGGTTTTTTTTTTGGATCTTTCTAGGCACCAAGACAAATTTTATAATAATCTGATAGTGTAAAGGCAGGCCTATGCCGGGCTTTCCTTCGCCTAGCCCATACTTAGGGAAACCCCGGGAAAGACATGACCCGCCTCCTATCTTTTCCGCAACACCGCCGGGTTCCACCTACAGTTGTAATTACTATTTTAGACATCTGATAAGTGGGATGCTGCTTTAAATCGTTGCCATTCGTTGTGGGTTATGGAATACGGAATTAGGCAGTAGGCAATGGACAATATTTGAAGTTCCAATTGAATCGGTCCAGTTTCCCATTGCAGAATCCTTGTTGGCCTACTGTCACCTTAAGGAGGCATACCACTTTCTTTGCGACAGAACAGTATAACGCGTGACGCACAGAGGTGGGAGGCTCTTTCATCCGCTGAGATAATCAACCGCTCCCAAGGCATCCGACATGACAGGCTGGGAAAACCGAAGAAGTGCCTCCATTCGACACCCCGTCACCAGAAATGTTCAGTCTTGTGATCCTATTGAGCGTGCGTTGTTAATGCGTAGTGAGTTGTGTTTTTCAAGCCATCTCAAATTGATGTGATACCTCATCAGACAACTTTCACAAGGAAGACGCTAGTATCTTGCATTCTTGTTTCTGATAACTTTGATCTTACTTGCCCCGTAGTAGGACCAGACTAAGTAAATTTTCCCGGCGTAAGTGACCATGCTTTCTAGTTTCTTGATACTTTTGAGATTTATCGTATTGGCTTACTTCGGACTATGTCCTTAACTGATATCTGCTGTCCGCCAACCAGCTTTTCCCCTTCTCAAAATGATGTTTTCTGGAAGGCCTTCATAGTTTGATAGTTCGGCAAGGGGATTTTAATTAGAATATAACCTATGTTTGTACTCCAAAAGGGGACTGCCGTTATGACTCAAAAGCCTGCGAAATGAAAGCATCCGTGGGATCAGCGAATCTTCGTGGCATGCAAGTTCGATTGTAATGCTGAGATACACCTAAGGTCTGCTATTACTGGCATCTGTTCTCAGGTCCGCTAAATCAAGATGGGAGCTCAGATTAATTCATATTAAACCCATCTAACAGATACAGCAATAAGGTCGCTACCCACGCTAGAGGCAATAGCACCATTTAAAGTGGCCCAAATCTCACCATCGAACTTAAGCAATCTGCTCAGTGCTAGGCACAGCCATAATTCAGCTAGTTATCATTCAGCAATCGAAGCTAGGTTGCACGATCTTCCTCGAAAATCGTCTTTCAACCAATGGCAACAGCATTCCACACCAAACAATCATGGCAACCACCCAAGCAATTCCAAATGCGTAACCATGGGTTCGTTTGAACCGTGGCGCCTCCGAGGTGGGAAACATGAATTGCTGAGAGACTGTTTCGACGGCACTGGCATAGAACGTCAGCATCAACACCATTCTAACCTGATGAGTGGAGGAGGCACTAGACTTACTAGCCGATTGAGATCATGAGGGAGGTCGATAGCGCACGGAGCTGTCTGTCCCCACCGCAGCAGGAGTTCAGCCATGAACTAATCAAAGGCGAAATGGCGCCATAGGCAGCGCATAGATAGTACATCCCAGTTATGAGGGAATTGTTAGTAGACCAGATGTGGAATACGATGTAGGCAGCGAGTTGCAACAGCCCTAAAAAGCAAATGATAGGTGCGCGCATCTTGAGATAGTCTGCCAGCGTGGAACTGATTAGAAGCCATGCCAGCTCCTGTGCTCAGGATCAGCATTCAAACGATCGGTGGCTAAGTCAAAACCGAAACTTACAATGCATCCGATGACCGTGGGAAGGCTGTTGATCTTCCCAATACTGTACCGGGGGTGACCGTCTACCTTTAGAGACTTCAGGTATAGAGTCATCCACCGTTGGAGGTTGACTCCGCATGTACACTCCATAAAGCTGAGGACCAGTTAGAGTTTCTCAGCCCCGGAATGTAAAGACAAGGGCAAAAGTGGAACAGACTTACCCCCATGCTAGACAAAAGCCATACAGCTGCCAGGAGGTCAAGATTCGCTTAATTGTAGCCATGTTCCACTCCAACTTGGTCGTGGCGCGATCCTCATCTCTGATCCGCTTGATAGACATCAATTGTTCCCTCTCAGTCATCCACCAGGGCCGCTCTCCGTTCGGCTCATCTACCATCGTTCTTAATATTAGCATGGAACGGAGCCAACTATCGGAGCCGGGGCGTTTCCTTACCTGGACAGCAGAAGAATCCGAATATTGCGATCGGGATGCCGATGATGAAGTCGAAAATGAAGACCCAGCGCCAAGAGGCAAGGCCAAGTCTGCCATTCATATTCTGATGCCTAGAACCAGATAAGTATGTCTTCCACACATAATTCCAATATACTTACAGTCCGGCCTGGATATAACCTGAGAACATCCCGCCACCAATGGACGCAAACCAGTAGAGTGCTGATCGTCGACTGATCTCTGACTTGCGGTACCAGCTTCCGATCTGACGGTACGATTAGTTATCCACAAGACTAATGAGGGAGCACCAGTGCGTGAAAAACATACCATGTAAAAGGCACCCGGCATTGCCCCAGACTCAAAGAGGCCGGCAAAAAACCTATTTGGTGGTATGAGAATTTTTGTGACAAGGCTCGGGTGGGATGCTGGGCAAAATACTTACCGTAAAATGTAGAGTGTCTTGGCATCCTGCACCTTGTACATGAACAAGACGAAGAAGGACCATATCAGTGTGCTGACCGGCAACAGGTATCGCGGTCTGACAACTGTCAGTGCCATTGTGATAAATGGTCCTCCGACCATGATGCCGATGTTGAAATAAGTTGTGAACCAGTTGAGTTCATTTCTCCCTGCAAAGAGATCGCACGATTAGTCATGATCTGGCGGTTTTTTGCGCCCTGTGGAAGTTGGCTGACTTACCCAGCTTGAGGTCCTCTTTCATCCCCGAGACGTACGCGTTGGTCACATTCGTTTGGTCCTAATGTGGGGGGTAAATACCTATCCTGATTTCGAGTTCGCAAGGGCTTTGGATTGCCAGGCCTATCTTCAAAACGACGGCATACATACCAGATACTTGATGAAAAAGGTCTAAACAGGGTAAACCATGTTAATGACTGAATCACACAGAAATAGCAGGTCGGGGGGGGGGGGGGGGGAACGAGGAGAAAATACCAGACAAGAGTAGAGTAAGATGAAAAAATCGATCTTGAAGATCAGCCACTTCTCCTCTTTGGAGGTCCCTGGCTCGTGCCACTGCCACCATCGTCGTTTAGATGTAATTTCTCCGCTAGGCAAGAAATCGGGTTCAGCATGCGCATCCACCGAGGTGGATGCCGCTTGATTCTTGTCGAACATGTTTTTTTTTTCGCTGGGAAATTTTCTGGCACTGGAGGGATTACAGCTCTTACTTTAATGCTTGTTGACGGCGAACTAGACTTGGTAGCTGTGGGGACCTTGGGGATGATCATCTACTAGCCGGTAGTGGGACGATGATTAAATTGCTCAAGTGGCAAGTTCAAGCCCCAGGCCCTCCTTCGGGGAGGCCGATTTCAGAAAATAACTAGCCTCAAGATTCCTCTTCTTCACCGTGTTAAAATGTGGTAGAGGTGTATATCTTAGAATCTACTCCCACATCTGTGGGATTCACCCATCTTTCATGGAAGTAGTTTTTTTTGGGTTCATACATCGAGCACATTACAGTATTGAAAACTTCATACCGACTCAAACTAAAAGTAGAATTTTTTTTAAAAAAAAAATTAGGGTTCGTAACCTTCATTTCTTAGCATATAGTGGGGTCACCCGAGCATCACTGTTACTACCTCCTATCATGAAATAGCGAGGGAATTGGACAATCCAGAAGACAGCAATTCAAGGAACTTGATGCGACATAACACGGAGCACAAAAGACTGGTTCAATCCTCAAGGCTAATGTTAATTCAGGAATATTAGCCGGGGCCCTGTGTCACAGGAAAAACAAGTGAGTGGACCCCACAGGCATAGGGCTGGTGTACCTGAATGATGACTGGAGCAAATCCGCGACACACATGGAGGGGGGGGGGGGGGTGGGTCTTTATGGAGGCAACCACCAAAAGGTCCACGGGATTTGACTCCGGGGTTGGGCCTAGCAAGAGGGCTCCACTTTGGTGCGTCGGGCAATTCACCACTGGAGCCGCCCGACCCGTTAAGAAATCGGGGCGGAATTAGCGGGCGGCGATCCACACCCATCCGTTAATCCGTCCATGGCTTTGACAATAGATCACGCTCAACAAACGCTCTCTTCCTTTCTTATAGGCGCCTTTACAATCGCCATCATGCAACTCTATGCACATGCAGCGCTCTTGCTATCCCGAAGATAATTAAGATTTGGCTCAGGCGAAGTACATGTGGTCAGCGACAATCCCAAAGGCTGGCACATCACTTTAGCACTAAGTGTCTCTTTGACCCCTCTGTTCCTTGAAAAGGCCAATACCAAGGTCCTCCTGGATGAATCAGACAAGCTGGAGGATGTGCTAGTCTGATGGCTCAGGCTATTAATCCGCCTACCTCGCGTAGCCAGAAAACCATGGATACGCCGTTCCAGCTGGGCCGAGAACTACGCTAATGCATGCACGCCTCTGGTAAGTAATCCGAATTATTTATTCAGAGGCATCTTCATTCCAGAAGGAGCTGTGAGATGCATTATGACGACTGATGACTAATGATTATCTGTCCTAGTTTGCAGAAAAAAGAAAAAAAAAAGCAAGTGCATGTGCATTAGCGTTGTTCTCAACCGAACTTACCTGGCAGGGTATGGCCGTGACCCGAAATCAGCAGTCTAGAAGCAAGAGATGCGTTCGTGCTGTCAAATTAGCTAAATGTTTGGCCACAGTACTCCGTATGTTTGGCTAATTTAGGGGCGAAAATTTAACCGGCGAAAATCTGATAGGCGAAAAATTGACAAGTCTACTACTAGAGATCCCAGTCTCATCATTGGGGCTTTTCATTGTAATTCAAGCACTGTATTTCACACTATACGTTATTTTGGACGGACAATCTGGAGAGGCTTGTTCTCTGAAAACGAATTTTTCACGGTCAAGGGGGGTACCTTGAAAGTATACGGAGGACAGTCTCTTCAGCCGGTGAAGTGGAACCCCTCAATCCATACAAATCCCGGTTCACTTCCTAGGTGCGGACTCTTCCCCGAAAAGAATTCATTCAGCCGTCAGCCTTGCGACCTAAGGTTGACCGTCGGGACCATTAAATTCCATAATGGAACGACCGCCATCGGTTCACAGTTCGCCTCGATCTTTACGTTTAAAAACTCCGTCTGCCTCTGCCGCTCCGCAAGGGGAAGTCCCAGGCATCCTCGTGACTTTTGAACCAGGGGAGAAATCTAACCCGCAGAACTTTCACCCGGCGTACAAAATATGGCTCACCGCTCAGATGAGCCTCCTGGCTTTGGCCGGCGCTTTAGGCTCATCAATTTTATCCTCAGCCAATGCGGAAATCGCTGAATATACCAGAGTAAAATCAGAGGTTACTTCTCTCACTGTAGCTCTATTTGTCCTAGGTGTGTTCTCTCTCCCAGTTCCTGTGCAAGATTCCTCAGAAAAGTCCGTGGATCTCCATCGATCAGACCTTTGAAGGCACATGCAACGAAACAATGAAAAACACGTGGCTGATCGAATTACTAGGTTGGGCATTCGGCCCTTTGCTTTGGGCGCCTATCAGCGAGGTTCATGGACGTCGGATAGGAATGCTTCCCCCATTTGTGGTAATGGGCTGCTTTAGCATTGGTACGGCGGTTAGCAGGAATGCTGCGAGTGTCCTGATCACACGCTTTCTGGGAGGGATCTTCGCATCGGCGCCGATAAGTAATGTTCCTGCTGCGTTGGGCGACATGTGGTCTCCCGAGGCTCGAGGAATCGCAATGGCATTTGTCTCCATCTGTATCTCAGGCGGTCCAACCCTAGGCCCCATAATTGGTGCGGCGGTAGTCACTCGCCCGAGTATGGGCTGGCGCTGTATGTTCCCTATGCCGCGTCTTGTCTTCCTAAGCGGAGGTTATGGTGATAGCTTGTTCTAACGGCCATAGGGACGGCATACATCGAGGCCATCATCGTCTTTTCTCTTTGCATTGTGTCTTTCTTCTGTCTCCCCGAGACGTTTGCCCCGGTTCTTCTAAAACACAAGGCGGAGAAGCTGCGCAAGAGCACGGGAGATCAACGATATTGGCATCCGCATGAAAAAGAGGAGATCAATGCGAGCAACGTGATGACCAAATATTTTGGCCGCCCGTTAAGGTAAGTCTGATGAGTTTTACCTCTGGAATCTGGAAAGCTCTATCTACCATTTACTCTACTACTGCGAATATTAACCCCCAGAAAAAAATAGAATGCTTTTGACGGAACCTCTCGTGACCTGTATGGCATTCTATGCTTCTTTCACGTACAGTTTGATCTACTTGACTCTGGAGATTTTCCCGATAGTTTTTCGGGAGCACCGGCATTGGTCTTTAATGTCTTCCTCCTTGACATTTCTGGGAATTCTTACCGGTGTTATTCTTGCCGCTCCTTTGAATTTTCTTTTCCAGCCTTATTATAAAAGGGCCGTCAAATTAAATCACGGGAAGGCTGTCGCAGAAGCTCGTTTACCGCCGCTTGTCTTGGGTGGTTTCCTTCTCACAACTGGCTTATTTTGGTTTGCCTGGACAGCAGCCCCAAAGTACCCATGGCCTTTGCCAGTGGTTGCAGCAGGTAGGACTTGTCTTTTCTTTCCGTCGTCCCCCTTCCTTCCTACTTTCCACCATGAACGCTACCAGGTTCCAATCATGGACTGATTACCATTCCTAGGCTTCATTGGGGCTGGCTTTACTTTGGTCTTTCAACAATGCTTGAATTTTCTCGTCGACACATACGGACCCTACGCGGCAAGCGCCGTCTCTGCGAATACTATCCTTCGGTCTGTGCTCGCTTGCGCTCTACCCGTTGCGGCCGCACCGATGGCCCACACCATGGGCATTGGTCCAGCGATGAGTCTCCTTGGGGGGGTTTCCTGTCTAGTACTGCCCGTTCCATTCTTATTCATGAAATATTCCCCTACTCTTCGACAGAAGTCGAAGTTTGCTGTTGTCGATAGCCATTAGCAGTCGGCAAGAAACGCTTATGGAAAGGATCATCTCATTGCTAAGGAAGTGGAATGTGATGCAACTAGATGGAGGTTGATGGACCTCTCTTTGCCCACTTTTTTTTTGGTTCTTTCTAGTTTTCAAGCTCTCACTCCTTTGTCACTATAAAGCTACAAATAAAGCCTCATGGTATTTAAATCCTTGTCGGCATCTAATTTATTACTTCTACTAGTTGCCTCTCTCTTGTTGGATATCTTGTACCACATGTATCAGGTTGTAACCCTATTTTGATTTATAACAGAAATCCGGGCCAAGTGTGGTCTGCAGGGAGCACATGTATAACTAGCACTAAACCGACAAAAAATCCGTTTTCCTCCAATCTGTGCGGACAAGCTTCCAAAAATATGATATGCACGCTCATATGGATCACGCCATTATGGCGGCCCGATGATTATCTTGGCTTTCAACATCTTCCCTTTTTTTTTCTAGCATGAATTGCATGTCACTTTCTTTGACTGGGCTCTGGTTCATTTTTGTTGACTTTGGAGTCGATTGCTGAAAACGGCCGACCAGAGAGTATTATGGCAGTTTTGTACAAGTCAATCTTGACAATCCCTAGATTTGTATATACTATTGTTCCAATGTCCGACAGCACCATTGGCAGTGGTTTGAGCTGGGAATCACAGGTAAGTCAAAATACACTTTTGGCGGTGGCGGGTGAAATAGTATCCTTGAGGGTGGAATGCATGCTCCGCATCTCTTCGTGCATTGTAATCTGCATGGCGCGGGATTCCATCGTATGCTGCCAGTTGCATCTGCCCAGCGTTAGTAATCAAATCTTAGAAGGTACATGCATGGCCCAGATGCCATACCCACACCAGCAATGATCCTTACAGAGGATTTCGAAAATGGCCCAAAAGATTCTGCACCTCTTGCAAACTGTCTCTCTGGAAGTAATGCCGCTCTTCTTCAGCAGAGCGTGCAATTTCTCCGGGAAAGCCTCTGACCAAGCAGGCTTGAACCGGTACACTTTTCCCGCGGTTGTTTGATCGAACCATGCATGCTTATAGCTTTCTTTTCGAGGTTTGCAGCAACATCGGGCCGAGTCTGGTGAAATTCCTGTATCGTGCCACATTAATTTTTCAGTAGCATGCGACGCGCTTTCGCCCTATTCCTCGTATTTTGAATCTCCTCGTCGTAGCCCCATCAAGCCTCGTGTACAGTACGAGACTGTCCCCTGGCATAGCTGTAAGCCGAAAGATCTGGTGTCGACGGCGGTACCCGCAAGCTCTGCCATTTTTTTTTTAGCAATGTGTATCAATTTTACAGGTTCTTATAAAAATCCCGAAGTCACCGGGAAGGGTTCTATGTGGGCAACATGCCATCAGTGCTCCTAGTCTCACGCAGCGAGGCAAGCGTAGCCCCAATTGGGGCTTCACGCTTAGCCGAATTAGATAAGACGTCTGCTTAACTTTTCAGCAATGTCTTTTTGAATCAAAGCCAAGCAATAACCTGTCAAGTGATTTTGGCTGCTCACCTAGTCTTACAATATACCTCATTTGCCAGTGAGGGCAGGGGGTAGTCATGTGGTCCGTTTACTGAATGTGTGCTAGATTTGCACAAGGTCCGTCACTCATTTCATCTTTTCTTGTATCGAGATGGGCGAGGTTCTTAGTGATTTTGAAGGTTAAGAGAGTATGGGAAAGGACGCAAATCATAAGCAGCGTAACAACTTGGGTATATTCTAGATGAATCCATTGCAATCCTTATTCCGCCACAGCTTTAAGGGCATCCGCAGCCACATTGCATCCCCACCGAACCACTTTGAGTTCCTCAGAGGACACAATGTCAGTTTTAGCGACGACCTTTCGCACAAAATAGATAAGGCCCTTGGCGATGTGTGGTGTCTCCTTGACACGCAGGAAGATTTGCATCAAAGGCCCTTCGTTCTTCTCGGGCTCATCGGACGTAGAGCTCTTGGACTTCTTCTTCTTCTTAGACTTTTGGGATTGTTGAATGATACTGATGATTAAGACTTCGACAAATGTCTTAGTCTTAGGCTGAAGGTAGGCAAAATTGAGATTCTTCAAAATGCTCAGGGTCAAGCTGCCATCCACGATGAGGGTGCTGAACATCTTGGCCAGGTTAACCACAGACTTCATGCTGACACCGTTCTCCTCGTCGTCTGAATCGAAATTGTTGTATTCGTCCTCGTCCGTATCTCCTCGTTCACCCATCTTCTTGAACTCATTCCAGAGTGCAAACATGAAGGACATTTTCATGCGTCGACCCTGCTCACCACAAATCCGACGCGCAATCAGAGAATAGTATGGGTTGTGAGCCTGCTCCTCCATGGCACAGTGTAGGAGGACACGAGGAATTTCAAACTCCTGCGCCCGCTTGAGGCGAAGTTTCATGAGTCGGACATGTGCATCTTGGAAGTCGTTGGCAGACATGATGGCAACGAAGATCGACCGACGAACGTCAGTGTTCATGCGATGGGCTCGGGCAAGAACTCCAAAGTCAGGCTCATCGTCGCTTTCATCATCTTGGACCTCAGGTTGGGTCATCTGTACACCAGCCATTTCTCTTTGTGCTGTTACAAGAGGATCTTCCTTCCAGCTTGCGCCGACCAACCACCACTTACCCTTCTTGGAGGAGTTGTGGATATCGTCCCGGGAGATGTTAATAGGTTCAGATGCGCGGATTACCCGAGAACTGTTCAAAGAACCCAAAATCTTGCGCATTTTGGTAATGTGTTCTGTGGTGATACCTGCACCAGCTGCGGCTGAAGCTTTCGAACGATTGTTTTTCAAATCCGTGATCAGGTCAATCATAAATTTGGTCCGAACAGAAAGACTGTCCTCGCCAACTTTTGCCACGGCGGGCTGAATGAGCAGTACGATGTCCTTGAGTGCGGACGGATCATCGAGGCGGAGTTGAGGGCCAGAATCTGCGTACATATTAGAGGGCCAGTGATTGTTTCATTCTTGGTAGATCACTTACTCCGAATGACCTTTAGCAAAAGTTCAGTGTTTGCTTCCGTTATCTCCTGTACGTAAAGACGAACGTAGTCAAACATCAAGGAAGAACCGATAACGTGGAAGTTGTAAAGTTGCGAGAGAAGAGAGACCAGGTTGGTAGCTTCTTTTCCTTGGAACTTTCCACGCTCGTCGCCATCAGCATCCAATGTTTCTACAACTGTTTGGATAATCTCCGCGCCGACATCCATTCCCATGAGTTTATACAATGCCGCAATGAAACCTGCATGCAAAATGAGGAAGGTGTCCTGAAGGGCAGCCCTCTCACAAATCAGGCCCATTAGTAGGCTGATCAAAGTAGATGTGACGTGCTGGCGTGGGTAATCGCGGTAAAGCTTCTCAAATTCGGCAACAATCGAGAGCATATTGGCCTCGGACAGCTTGTTGAGATGTCCCTGGGCCTGGCGCTTGAGACGAGTAAGAGATTCGCTTTCTGGGTCAGACCGACCCCGTAATGAAGGTGGAATATACTTCTGGGCGGTGGCTTCAGGACTCGTGACCGGGGCGACATAGGGGTTTTCCTTCTTTTTTGGCTCTCTGCGCTCTTCTTCGTCGAAACCGTCGAAATCACTGCCTTCGGCGGCCTCGTCAGAATCATCGCTCCCAAATAATTCCTCGTCAAGATCGAAATCCTCGGCGCTATCCATTTCACTGTCATCATCTTCGAGTTGTTGGGCTTGTTGGGCTTGCAAGCTCTTGGCCTTGAGTCTCTTGTTTCGTAGCCAATCATCAGCTTCTCGCTTACGCTTTTTGCTCTCATCCTCTGAGTCATCGCCTCCACCGCCACCCAGGTCTCCCAACAGATCCTCTAGCCCATCCTCCTCAAAGGCCTTTGATAGTTTACCTCCTTTCTTGAGGCCAAGCTTTTTCTCCAATGCAGCAATCTCAGCATCGTCTTGCGCTAATTTAGCTTTGACCGATCCTGGGATGTGGGCTTTGGTTTCCTCGGGTGCATCCTCGGGTTCATCCTCGTAGGCGTCGTCATCCGACTCATCGTCCTCATCTTCATCCTCATCCTCATTTAGGTCGATTTCTGAGCCGAAGCCGGACTCAGATTCGGACTCAGAGTCATGTTGAACTACCGCTTTCTTTAGGATAGATTTGGGCTTCTTCGCGACCTCTTTCATGGATTTAGACTTGGTCTGCGGTACACTGGGTCCCTCGTCAAGATCCATGCCGTCTTCCTCATCGCTGTCATCTTGAGCCTGCTGCTGAGGCTTTTGCTGAGTTCGCTGCTGAGGACGCTCAAAGGTTTTCTTGTGCAGCGGGGCTGCGTGTCGGGATTTTTTCTGCGTACGCTCATTTTGGCGGCGTTCTTTGCGCGAGGCAGGTCCGTTCAGGCGGCGCTTCTTGTCGCCGTAAACATCGCGAATTCCGAGCTCGGATCGTAAATCACGAGGCAAAGCTGTTGTATTATGCCGAGGGCGGGGCATTCTTGTTCCGCTGAGATTTTAATTTTGTCTGCTCTCAAAGACTTCAAATGTAGGTCCTTAACATCAGATACCCCGGGCGGTCGGCAACTTTTTCACTTTTCTGCTGCCCCAAAACAAAGGCGGAGAGGCACCCACAGCGGAGTTTCTCCCCCACTGTGAGCAGTTCCCAGCTGTCAATTGCATATCGATAATCTGCTCCAGCTTTTAAATCCCTTAATTATCGCACGCCTTTAAGAACGATCTTCAAATATGGCCCCACATCTGGGACACGATGAGGTAACTATTGACATCGGTGTTATCTGACCGCTACACCTCCGCGCATACGACCACAACCACCAGTTCTAAACTATATCACTAACACCGGCCATCTCTAGTTCTTCGAATCTCTCGCCAAACTGCTCTCCAAAACCTCCCAAAAGACTCAAGGCTCGGTAAATCTTACTCAAAAACCTCTCATCGATGTACCGGGTGCCATTTCCACAAACTCCCAACCATCTATCCTCATCCGAGCCACTGATGGAAACACCAACACGCCAAACCTCAAGAGCGCAAGCAAGGAAACTCAGGTCTCTAAGAAAAAGTCTCAGAAGGTCAAGCTCTCAACTGTCGTCAGCCCAGATGAAATTGAGGCATTCTACGTTCGCTACGCCGAGGTCTGCAAAGCAGGAATGACCGGGTTGAAGAAGCGAGATCGCCGAGGCCGCAAGGCGAAGACCAAGGGTGGAGCTGCTAAAGTCACAAAAGCATAGATTTGCTATTCAGTCTATTTCCAAGATGGCACTATTGTTTTTGTGGGCTTGGCTCGGAGCTGATACGCGATGAGTTTGATGGCTTCGGTTTTCCATGCATTAGCTGGCGTTCAATGGTGGTTATGGCTTCTTGTCCTCAATTTTTCAATGCGACCTTCCTATCAAGTGTACATATTCCCCTACGCTTGTGGCTCACGGGTGCTGTGTTTGTTTATATGAGTCCCGTGGGACAGGAAAGGAAATAAACGGCTTTCAGCATTATAGTTGAGCATCCCCCCTATTCGTAAGTTGCATATCTAACATCTTTGGTCAATTTATGTAGAGGGTGGCTAATGGCGCTGGAGAGGCCATTTTGTTCAGATATAGAACAGTCTGGAGATCGAAAGAGCGTACCTGTATCAATTAATTTTCGTTTCTGACATGACCCCAGATCCCCCTCAATGAAACACGCAACGCTAGAATACAGAAATTCAGTAAAATACAAACCATGCCATATATCCACCCAGGAGTCGTACAAATCAGTGCCAAATATCATGACAGAAAAAAAAACATTAATAAGGGGAGGGGGGGAGTGACATCCAGGAAGAAGAGAACAGAGTAAGCAATTAAAAGGTGGGCATTGCAACCATCCGACTAGTCCAGATCCCAAGGGTCAAGTTTCCTGAAAATTTCAGCTTCTTCGTATTCCGAGGAATTTTGAGGCTCCAATGGAAAGTTGAAGTCATCATCTTTAGTTGGATTCTTCCTTGTTTGCTGTGAATGAGAATGTGGCTCACTCGTTGTTGATGTAACAGTTGGCTGGATAGTTGGGTTGATGACAATGCGCGCAGCGATATGAAGTAGAATAACGAAAAGATAAATTGGGGGGATCAATACTAAGGTGATAGCCTTGGAAAGAAAGGATGAGCCATCATTACCGGGTGGTTGGTATGGTGCCGAAGATTGAGGCATAGGGGAAACGTCACGCTCTCTTGTGGCTTTGGCCCGGCGCCGGAACTCGGCACTCATGTGGTCGAAATCAGTTTTCAATCTAGTGGCCTTGTCATGAGGGGTTGATCGCATTTTAAAGTCCGAAGATGCATCCGCAAAACGACTGGGTCGATTCACGTCGCCTGTAGGAGCCATTGAGGGTGAGGTGTCCGAGAAAGCATCTGCGAAGCGTCTGGGCAAATTATTCGAACTTTTACTATGCCTTAATGTAGGAACACAAACGCTGGCTGGATATTGGATGCCATCTCGTTGACGAATTTTGGGTGTTGGGAGCTGTGACGTTTCACACAGATCCGCTGGTGCTGATTTCAATCCAGAAATGGTGTGTTTTGTGCTTGAAAGATTGAACGTCTCATCTGACTCCGGCAGATCGTGGCCACCGGCAGATGTGGGATGAGCGAAAACTGAACCTGGCGATTGAGGCTCAGCAGAATGGAATGACGCAGGGCTGGATGCAAAGGAGGCATCACGGTCAGCCTCCAGTTTGGGCTCAGCAGCGGGTTGAATGGGTTGAACTTCTTTGACTTCCATAAAGTTTCTTTCAGGTGCTGCCACAGCTTCAACTTCGCTGGTGAGTACAGCATGGAACACAACTGGCTCTGAAGTTTTAGCCGCCAACACTGCATCAGTGTTGATTGGGATTATGGGCTCCGCTTCAACTGCAGTTTCACTGGAAGACTCCGCTTGTGATATAGCTTCTGGCCCCAGTTTAGACTTAGCCTCAAACTGCGCTTTGGAATTAACCTCAGCATCTAGCACAGCTTCGGATTTAGGCCCGGCTTCAATTCCACCGTTGACTACAGATTCAGATTCAAGTTGGTCTGTAACCTTGACCTCATGATCAATTTGAAGTGCAGAATTGGTACCGGATTGGTAATCTGGGTTGAGCACAGCTTTAAAGTCATGGCCATCTTCTGCGACTGATGTAGCCTCAAACTTTGCAAGCAAGCAAGTGACGGTTGGTGGTAGTTCGGTCACTGAGCACCTGGGAGGATCGAGGGATAGAGAAGGACTCAAAGCCTCAGCAGTAGAGAATTTCTGATCGTCGGGAGTAGTCTCCATAGTTGTACTGTTCGCTTTTTTTGAAGCAACCCAACTGTCATCGGTTAAGTTTCCGTCGGTGTCGTCCCCGGTGCTCACGGAATCTATGCAATCTGACCTCGTTGAAGAGGGTGATGGTGTCTCTCGCGAAGGTTCTAGAGCGGTCGGTACCCTTTCTCTCCGATCTTTAGGCTGCCATGCCTTTTTGCGCCGAGGTGCCATCGCATCGTTCGGCAGCTCAACGCTGAAAGCGCGTTTGAAAGGACATGGCGTGACCTCATACCGAAGAACGGTGGGAAACGCGATCTTCAGATCCTGCACCAAGCGCCGGTCGTCGTCCGTCTCGTGCGGTATTTCAATGCGATAGTATGTAAGGGGGCGAATGCGCAAAACAAACCTCGAGACTCCGTCGACACACCAACACTGCGAGTTCTTCAGGATCGCATGGACAACAGTTCCACATTTCAGGAAAGCTGTTGAGCCATGAACCTTCTCAAGCCTCAGTGGCGCTGTTGCGACCGTTCTTTCAGTCGCAGAGCGCCAGGGGAGTGTTTCGATGGTGTCAACCGGGTAGTCGAAGTCGGATGGCGCAGTGCTGGAGGGAATAGGAGCGAGCGCTCTTGGAGAGAAGTGCACAATTTTCGCAGATGGGTGATAGAAAATTACATGTTCGGGGGTATTCGGCACGCTCGAGCGACGTTGCGCGAGTGGGTTTAATTTGGTGGGAAGGGTGAGGGAGCGGCGGAGGCGTTGTATCTGACCTAGCTCACTTGGAGACTCAGGCATGGTTTATGGATGCGATCAATAAGAAACAAAGGAGAGTACAGAAAAAAAAATTTTAGTGTTGAGACATGTTTGTACAATATACTAATGCGAGAAGCCAGGGTATCCGATGCAAGAAACGCAGGAAACGGGGACTATCTGCAGTGTTGCGCGGGGAGATTCACGGTTGCCTAAGGCCTCCACACATCAGGTGACCTTTAAATGAGCTTTCAATGGAGACCAGGCACCCACAATTATTTCGAGAACGTATTTAAACTAGCTTCTTAGCTATTTCGGCACTTCTGAGCTTCTCTACAGAGGGTCATTACTTGGATATTCAACAGCTTTGAAACCCTTAATGTCGAGCTTCGAACCAAACGCCGTTATCCGCGGCTTCCAGCTCACAGTGGTAGGCAGTATGTCACCCTAATTTTGTTTTTGGTTGCTGTTTTCGGGCCATTCAGGGGCAATGGCTCAAAAATATCCCAGGCAGATTCCTGGCTGCACAAGAAATTCTATGAATTTCTTCAGGGCTGTATAGCGTCAGAGTCGGCCTTTGCCAAGACTTTGATCAAGTACTGAGTTCAGCCAGCCACCTGTTGTCATCTGCCTCGGAATGGTCCCCTGGATGGGCAATGTACTTTGGATACTTGCTAACCGATGGTGTGCAGCTGTTCGTGCATTAGCAAACCCTGAATTATTCAAGTACGACCATTTCCGCCAAGCGGCTCTCGCCATAGCCGTCGGCATCGTGATCCAGCTGATCATTCAAATTCCAGTACGTTTCTAACCTGACCTACGCCGGTTAAGGGTTTCTTCTGACTTCAATCCAAGATCCTCAGCGTCAAATTCTCAATCTACATCTTATCATGGGTGATTAACATGGAGCATGCTGTCTGGGATGACAAGCTTCTGGATGGATTGGAATTTATGTCCAAGTCTGTCCTTCAGGTGCCATTTTTGCTCATGACCTTGATGCGATATGTGACGCCTGCACTGGATGAAATGTATGTTCCATTGGCAATAAAGCCATCGACAGTGTCCGCTAACCCTCTTACCAGTTTCATGCAGTCCATTCAATGGGTGGACACCACATATATTCAGAAACATAAAACCGAAGATCCTCATCACCTGCGTTCTCTATACTACCCCAATCTTGCTCAGTACTCCACCAAAGGTGGCTCCAGTGTTTCTCAGCCATTTCCCCAAGCACTGAAATCATTCTTCAGTCGCTACTCAAAGAAGTTCGGCATGCTGCTTGGTATCTATATTCTTTCGATGGTTGTAGTCATCGGTCGGTTTGTTATGCCTGCAGCAAGTTTCTTCACATTCCGAAGTCTTGTTGGATCCACCCCCGCGGCTGTCATTTTTGGTGTAGGCTTAATGTTGCCGAAGGAGCACATTGTCACGTTTCTCCACACCTACTATGCTTCGCGCAGTCTGATGCGTGAACTTGTAAGTCAAGTCACCCTCTCCGCCTCCCCCACCAGCCGGGCAGCACTTAGAATTACACGTACTAACAGATTCTAGCTTGAACCCTACTTTTGCCGCATCAAGTTCACTGCTGAGCAAAAGCGTCGGTGGTTCCGCGACCGAGAAGGTGTTCTCTTTGGTTTTGCCTTCGCTTTCACGGTGGTTCTGCGCATCCCATATATCGGGGTCCTGATGTATGGCGTTGCCGAGGCATCTACAGCGTACCTTGTCACTAAGATCACCGACCCGCCTCCACCTCCTGCGGAAAGTTTAAACTTCGCGGAAAGTCAGGTTACCTGGAACAACAAACATGATTTCTTGCTTTTGTCTCTCGATGCTCTTGATAAGCTCAATGTTGACGTGGGCGAGCAGGATCAGAAAGAACCAGGCTCTCCCAAAAAGAAGTTTACTTGAGAGCTGTCAACGCTAAGATCCCCACAGCAAGAGTTTCATTCGAGGATTAGATTTGGCCTTGAGAAAGGAAATTGGATATACACCATGCATTAAGGCATTGTCATTAGCATTATAGGCGTCTATCCCAGATTTTGCTTATTGCTCTTCTTCAGAAGAAGACTCATTTACAAGAATTCATTTCATGTTTCAACAGTCTTAATCCCTGAGGCCTTGTATTCCCACCGGGGTACACAGGGCGCTAGCTTATCAGGCCGGTGATATGCGAGATAGAGCGATGATAAGCCAGATCTCCAACTCTTCACATAACTGTTATTCACGCTCATATGTAAATAGACCGGGCTTCTGCGGGATAAGACCTTATCTGAGGGGACCTAGTCAAGAACATCTCGGTATATTTGAGGTTCCCAGCTTCCGAAGTTTACTCTCTCGCCAGCCTATAGCTACTACCTCAATTGCATTAACCGACTAACCAAATTACAAATATGGGTATTAAGGGAATCCGTACTGCTTTAAAGGTCGATCTCAATAAGCCTGCGCGTGAACAGCCTGGCTTACATGTATGTTCTTCCGTTTTCCAAGTCGTGGAACATTGCTAATCCCCGACAGAACAGATGGCATCCGGATGGTGCGTCAGGTCTTGATCGCAGTATATCCATTGAAGATACTGCATGCTAATTTTGCATCTCGCAATCTTCAGTTCCGGCATATGGAACAATCGCCAACAATGAAGTTGTAAAGATCGAATGTCTCGATTGGACAGGAGGCCAAATTGGAAACAACGACTCAGCCGATGATATTAAGAATGTAGACCTAACCCAAATCCATTACCTGTCCGGTCCATTCGATATTGAAACCGCAGAGCCCGGCGATGTGTTGCTCGTCGAGATTCAGGACGTCCAACCATTCGAAGACCGACCATGGGGATTCACCGGGGTCTTCCACAAAGAGAACGGAGGAGGTTTCCTAGACCAGCTTTATCCTGATGCGTATGCTGATATTGCAATTGTGATACAAGTCAATGCTAACGGGTACTACAGAGCTAAGGCAATTTGGGACTTTGAAGGAATCTTCTGCTCCTCTCGACACATTCCACATGTTCGTTTTGCGGGACTAATTCACCCCGGAATCTTGGGGTGTGCTCCATCGGCCGAAATTCTGGCTGAGTGGAATCGTCGAGAGGGGGAGCTGATTGCGATCAACACTGTTGCTGATCGAATTGTCGCTCAGCCACCGAATCCCCAGAATGCTCATGCTGGCAGTGCTACCAATGACATGAAGAGCAAGATCGCCAACGAGGGCGCTCGAACTATACCAGTGAGATATGATCATATCCAATAAACCAGGGCCATATCCTCATGCGTTAATAGGGCCGCCCCGAGCACGGAGGTAATTGTGATATCAAGAACCTGTCGCGCGGATCGAAAATTTACCTCCCCGTCCACGTGCCCGGTGCCAAATTTTCTGTCGGGGACCTGCACTTCTCGCAAGGCGATGGCGAGATCTCATTCTGCGGAGCCATTGAAATGGCCGGTGTAATCACGTTGAAGTTCACAGTCATCAAGAACGGCATGGCAAAACTAGACATGAAGTCACCAATCTTCCATGCAGGACCCGTAGAGCCGCAGTTTGGCCCTGGGCGATACTTGACGTTTGAGGGATTCTCTGTCGACGAGAATGGAAAGCAGCATTTCTTGGATGCAACTGTCGCCTATAGACAGACCTGCCTCCGAGTTATTGAGTATCTCCGGCGCTATGGCTACAGTGATTATCAAATATATTTGCTGCTCAGCTGTGCGCCAGTGCAGGGGCATATTGCCGGTATTGTGGATATTCCAAATGCTTGTACCACGCTTTCGGTGCCAATGGATATCTTTGATTTCGATATTCGGCCGGAGGCGGATGTGGTTAAAAAAGAGATGGGAGCTTGTGCATTCGTTACAAAGTAGGCCGCTCGGGAATAGAAGCAGCCAGTTGAACATTCCAATTGATCTCTTTATCTGATTTGTCTATGATCAACAAGAATCAAGCAGTATTCAACACATTCTGAAACATAGGCTAACGCTTGTCATGTCGCCTAGACCGAGGCGCAGTGAAACCACAATCCTCTGGAGGAAAAAAGGTGCTATTAACACCGCATCATGTTAAATTATTCATTGGGTGCTTTTTGGAGGCAAGGCTATCATTTTCGATTTTTTGAGTGAATCTTGCACTTGAAGCCTGACATGCTATGTCACAGGGGTCTACCACGTGGAAGGTTACAGTATGGACGTTGCACAAAGAACAAGGCACATTGCCTGAATGATGTTATATCATACATCATTGGTCATTAGTGAGCGAGAACACCACGTCGTGAATCGTGATGGGAACAAAGGGAAGATGAAAATTAGTTAACTTAAACCCCTTCAAGAGAAGAACTTCTTGGCAGCGGCTTTTTCCTTAGCTTCCCGGTCCTTGACGGTCTTCTTGACCTTGGCGATCTCGTTGATGATACCAGCGTCACCGGGGGCCAACTTTTCCGCCTCCTGAAGATCCTTCAGCGCAGCATCTTCCTCCTTCAGACCCTCATGGGCAACAGCACGGCGGTAGTAGGCTTTAGCCTTGTCGGCGTCCTTAGCCTTGGCCTCGTCGGCAACTTGAAGCGCATACGTGGCCCAGTTCTGAGCCTGGCGGAATTTTTGAAGCTTGTTGCCGAGTAGGGAAGAGTTGGAGTGCAGAGTGAAACGGAGCGCCTTCATCTGTTCGCCCAACTCCTTGGGGTCGTTCTCTTCAGGCTCGGGGAACTCGTTCAAATAGCGCAGACCCTTCTGGTACTTGTCGAGACCCAGGTTCAGGTCACCACTCTTGAAAGCAGTGTTACCGAAGCCCTTGAGGTCAGAAGCGATCTTGAAGCAGAGAGGCGCAGTTAGCGCCTCGCCCTGGTGGTCCTCAGTGAAATCCTCGTATAGGTCACCTGTCGCATCCTGCTGGCGCTTGGTCGCGTTTTCGTAATCCTCGCCGGATAGCTCGCCGCAGTCCATGATAGTCACGTCCTGGAGGGGCTTGTCGGACTGGGTCTTCAGGTTCTCGATGTTGCGGATCACACTCTTGCCGTTGATGACCTCACCGAACACGACATGCTTGCCATCAAGGTGGGGGGTAGGGACAGTAGTGACGAAAAATTGACTGCCGTTGGTGCCGGGGCCAGAGTTGGCCATGGAGAGCAGGAAGGGACGGTCATGCTTGAGGTCGAAGTTCTCATCGGGGAACTTTTCGCCGTAAATCGATTCGCCGCCAGTGCCGTTGAACGCAGTAAAGTCACCACCTTGAATCATGAACTGCTTGATCACACGGTGAAAGATTGAGCCTGAATCGAGATGCTGCGGTTAGTGGACGTCTATGCTAGTAGAGCGGGGTATCGTAGACGTGCCTTTGTAGGTCAATTCCTTGCCCTGGGTGCCAATGCCCTTCTCGCCGGTACACAAAGCTCGGAAGTTGTCCGCAGTTTTAGGAACAACTGTAATTGCTGTTAAACAAGTCCAAATTGTCAAGGGAGAAAATCATGTCGTACCATCGTTGAACTGTGTGACGCCCAGATGTTAGATGCATTTCAGACTACAGGATTAGAGCAACTTACCAGCTCAAATGCAACTCGGTTAGGCTTGCCGTCGCCGATTTTAATGTCAAAGAAGACACGGGAGCCTACAAGCTTGTCAGCAACTCGACAAAATTCTTGTATTCCGCGGGCAGATGAGCCCCGCACTGAACATACGCTGAACTGTCGCCATGACTGTGGAGTTTTAGGGAGAGAAGATTCAAAGTGGAGAAGAGTAGAGGAGAGAAATGAAGTTAATATAGTAGAGAGGTGGAGGAGAGAGAAGTCAGCGTTGTGGGGGAGTCCGGCGCTTGCGGTTCAGGAAGCTTCCATTGCGGGCACCCCAACTATGTTCGGACCACGGGAATTGTATAGAAAGTCGTACTGGGGGTATCTGCTAACATCTATCTAGGTACAAAGCATCACTCTGTCTCTCTTTCTCCTTTTTCGCTTCTCTTTTTCGCTTCTCTCTCTCTTCTTTCACTGTAGTAATTCAGGAGGAATTTGGAATCCAACAGATCCCTGGATTTCTTGTTCATCGGACACTTTGTCTCCATTCTTCGGCTCCTTGGGTTCCTTTTTGGGAAGATTGGTATTGATTTCGATTGTGACCTAGAATCAGACCAGTCAGTATAGAATAAATGGCGGCGAGGAAAGGAGCTAGGAAGTCAAAATGTACCGCCGCGTCCTCGCTGCAGTAGTCTACACCCACCGGCCCGTCGTTCTTCAGTTCAACCTCCATCATGGCTTGGAAGACACCGTTCTTGACCCGGTCTGGGACATATTCTTCCCGCATCTTGTCATAGAAGAAGTCATAGATTTTGCGTGCAGGTTCGGGGCCAGCTGCATCATGAAAGTCGGGTTTGTTGCCTTTCTTCATTTTTGCGTAAAGGGTGAATTGGGAGACTAGATTAGACCACCACCAGGGTTGCTCAGCAGTGTTCCAGATAGTAAGATGAAGAGCCATACCACATAGTACTTCCCCCTCAATATCCTTAACATTCTTTTTCCACTGCAATGATGTAAATTGCCGATCTCACGTGTGAGAGCCATTTAGCTTACCTGTTCTCCCTTCTCATCGGGCCAGAACTTGGCCTTTAGCACCTTTTTAACGAGATTCTCGGCATCCTTCTCGGTGTCTTCTTTGCCAATGCCAGCAAATACAAGAAGGCCCTTGCCAATAGACGATACTAACTCCGAATCGACAGTCACGGATGCTGATTTGACTCTTTGGATAATGACTGAACGGTGTTAGTTGATTCTGGTATATAAGACAGGTCTAAGTTTCCTGACGTTTCATTTTGATGTCCTATAATTCTTTAATATCTTGTTAAACTAGGAAACAGCTAGGTGAAGCTGGGGCATGTAGCCGCGGCGTAGACAAGATAAGGCCGGTATTAGCGCTGACACAGAATGATGCCTGTTGTTGCCCAAGTGAGCTTGGTCAACTCAGTCTGTCAGCGCGACTTGATTCTTTGGCAAAACTTGTGTACTTGTGAACTGAGAAATCCAAATGCGACGTGTATCTTCTGTGTGCAAGGCCCACGACCCCTCGCGCCGCCCTCTCCGCCCGTGACCGCCTACCTATTAGAGCATCCACGAAGCTTTCCACTCAAACGCGGAGAGGCATTCCATGGACTCCCGAGTTTCTGTCCCTCTTGCTGTCAAACAAGCCCCTTTACCCACAATTCCTCCAACACCAACTACCTCGATTGTGCACTTTTGACCCTTTCGGTCAAAAGCGCATCACCTTACCGTTCCGACTGCTTTAATCCCGACGCCAGCGGACGGCACATTCCACCAACGGGTTCACAATGGCAGCTCGAAAAACGCAGCAGGAGATTGAGAAAACCTTCAAGAAGGTCTCCGAAGGGATACAGACATTCGAAGGCATTTACGAGAAGATCCGCCAGGCTACAAATCCCACACAACGGGATAAGCTCGAAGACCACCTTAAGCGCGAGATCAAGAAGCTCCAAAGATTCCGTGATCAAATCAAATCATGGGCCGCCGGAAATGAGGTCAAGGATAAAGCTCCTCTCATAGAGCAGCGGAAGGCCATTGAAGTGGTGCGTTTAAGTTTCTTAGCTTGGTCCCTCCACAGGGTCATTGCTTCCCTCAAGGGACGGCAAGCTAACACCGTTGGTAGTGCATGGAACAATTCAAAGCCGTCGAAAAAGAGATGAAGACGAAGGCCTATTCGAAAGAAGGTTTATCGGCAGCTTCACGACTAGACCCAAAGGAGAAGGAGAGAGTCGAGTGTTGCGAGTTCCTCTCCACCATGGTTGACGAACTTCAGCTGAAGATTGAGGCCCTGGAGGCAGAGGAGGAAACACTTCATGCGCAAATGAAGAAAGGCAAGAAGGATACGAAGAAGGCGGATCGAATGGCTGACATCTCCCATGTGACGGAACGACATAAATGGCACGTGAACAAGTTGGAATTCCTCAATCGTTCATTACAGAACGGCAATGTGGACGTGGGTGCGGTACAAGATCTCAAAGAAAGTATCAAATATTACGTCGAAGAAGGAGGTAGTCTTGACTACTCCGGCGAGGATGAGACACTCTACGATGATTTAAATATTGGCGATGAGATCGAGGCACAATTCGGCATGGGCGGCGAAGGTGATCGAGTATCGTCACAAGATGCTCAATCAATCCAAGATGAAGAGCCAGAACCGAAGCCAAAGGTCAAGCAAGAAGCGCCAGCAGCCCGAAGACCGTCCACACAGATGAAATCGCCGTTGCCTGTTCTTGCTACCCTCCACCCGTCTGCTTCCTCGAGTGCCACTCCGGGCATGAAGCCCGCTCCCCTTCCGACCCGCCCTCCTGGTGAAACCCTCAAGTATGCCTCCGCCGCAGCCGCAGCCGCAGCAAGTGACAAAAGTGGTGTTGGCATTCTTCCTCTTCCCCCTCCACCAGGGTTCAGCCCGGCTTTGTCCGTGGCGCTGCCTATCCCCAAGTCTTCTACTGCTTCCCCTAGTGTGGTATCAGCACAACCGGTTACCAAGTCAATAATCCCACCTCTTGTAGCAGCCGTTACAGAAGAGCTTGCTGGGCCCGTGCGACCGAAGATCCCTACAAGCACAACTATTTCATCGCCAGCGCCCACAAAAGTGGAGACATCAACGAATGGCAAAATAGAGACTGAAGAAATTGAAGCTGATGAATCGGTATATCATCTGCCCCCTGGTCTCCAAGACCTGCTTCAATCATTTGAGGTGACGAAGTCGCGTGCGTCGGCCAATCCATCGCCGTCTGTACAGCGCCTTCTCGCTACCTCATTGACTACATGTCCAGAGGCTGGCGATGCTGAAAAGCCACGTCACTACAAGCCGCAGAACCCTTATAGCACTGCACTCTACTATCCACAGGAACCCCTTTCCATATTCGATGACCCTCGATTGTATGATACCGGGAGAATCGACACGGATACTCTCTTCTACCTTTTCTACTACCGTCAAGGAACCTACCAGCAATACCTCGCCGCCAAGGCACTCCGAAACCAGAGTTGGCGCTTCCATAAGCAGTATCAAACCTGGTTCCAGCGTCACGAGGAGCCCAAGAACATCACCGAGGAGTTCGAACAAGGCACCTATCGCTTCTTCGACTACGAAAGTACATGGTCAGTTAAAGATTCCGGTTGATTCCGCTCCCGTACCAAATATGCGAGCTCCCCACTTACGAATGGCATCAACAGGATGAATCGGCGCAAGGCTGATTTCAAGTTTGTGTACAAATACCTCGAGGACGAGTTATGAGGCGTCTTTGTCTTTTTTTTTCACCCGTGAGCAACTCATTCGGGCCTCCAAGTGCAGATGATTTGATTTTCACCCTGGATTTGTTCGCAATGTCTGTGTTTGAGGCTATGGCGGGAACTTTGATATCTGTGGGGGGTCTCGGTGGGCTGTTTTATCTTTTATTGTTTTCGCAGGACTGGCATCAATGAGTGCAATGAATGGGCCTGGGTGATATGGGAGTTTTGTGTTATTTGCAAGGTTATCAATTGTTCAAAACCATACAATGAACCCTCAAGTCAAGCATGTTGGCTATATAATACGAGGTAGCCAAGTGGCTAAACAACCAAGTAGCCCAGGCAAAGTTCATTACAAGCTTAGGCGCCAAATCTACCTTGCAGGTACACAGGCTAGGCTCACAATTACCGAATGTAGTAGGTACTATGTACGAAGCACATACCAAACTAGGCCCTGGGCCCGGGGTTGTCGGTCTACCGTTTTCTCTACTGGGACAATGCAGGAGAGATGCAAATGCAAATATAAGAAAAATACTGGAAGAAAAAGTAAAAGAAAATAAAAAAAATTCACAAGATTTGTAACAAGAAAAAAGAAACCAACCAAAAACCGGAAATAGGGGCGGCTGTAAATTCATCTTACCACTTCCAAGGTTGCCCACATGTCCCCGACTTTTTTTTTTTGGAGAAAAAAATTAAAGAAAAAAACCAAAAAGGCACCGGCATATGACGAATCGCTTCTCTCTTTGTACACCCGACATGCAACGTCAGAGAACGCTAACTCGCTAGCATTATGGCTTGCACCTGCATCTCACTCGCTCTTTCAGCCCCCTTGGCAGACGCTAGCATGAACGGCACTTTCAAAGTGCGGAATTTTTCTTTCTAGAAGCCCGGGAATTGGCGAAAGCTAGTTGCTAGTCGCTACCTCATCGGAGGCTGTGCGCGACCGCGACATCATCAGTCGATCTGCAATCCCGGATTGGAGGGATTTGGGAATTGTGGGAATACACTTTGGCCAGGTTCTCTATGGAGATGGACATGTTCGGGAGCGCAAGGCTGGATCGTGCGGATCATTTCTGATCATATAGCCGGCACGATTGTCCCGACCTGGAATGTGCCAATACGTCAATGGGCTTTGGGGGGAATTTCCGGGATGATATGCATCGTGAACTCGGACTCGAACTCGAACTGGTTCTTCCTCCTTGGCCATTCCACCTGGTTTTCAAGCTCGAACCCAATGTTCTTTTCAGAAGGCTTCGATGTCGATGGCAACGAGGAATTTCACACATCTCACCACAATGAAACAGCAATGCACAACTGCCCCCCTGTGACGAACACACACAAAAAAAAAAAAACCAGGTGCCATGGCCGCCAGATACGAGCTCTTGGCAGAACGCTAGAACGACACTAGAAGACACACAGAATCGTCAACGTCCAATCATGAGAGGATCACCGTGAGGGGAAGTTACTGGGCAACTAAATGTCTGACCGCTGCTTATCGCCAGCAACCAACTCCCCTCGACACACCTGATCATCCTCCAATCATCATCGTTACAAAATTTCCAGGATGCGAAATGAGGGCTGTGAGAGGGGCACGCTAGAAGGACCGTGGAATATTCGGCGTCAGCAAAGATCCGCATCCAAAACAAATTCCCGCATGCGAGGAGGCGGGGAGGCTGAGTGGTTTTGTCCAGTCTGCTTCAAGTAATTTTCTAGAAAACTGCTTAGTGCCATTCACTGTCCCCTTCACGGCCATTTACAGTCTAGTCCTGCTGTCTTCTGTCCCGTGTCGACCAATACCCTACTTAAAGCCCCGGTCATGCTCCATGATACTGGAGTTTCACGTTGGGCACATAAAAGGGCTCACGTCTCCATTGCTTAGGGAAATTATTTTGCACTTTGAACCCTAAATCCTTGGCCTAAATCAAGTTTGAGATTTTAATAACTAGTTAATCTGCTCTCGGCTATGGTAAGTGACTTTTAGCTTGCATGGGAGCATCATCTAAACTAACTCTCTCTATAAGACCGCGATTCCAATCCCCCTACCACCCCATCGCTCACTCTCACCTGCCCTAATTGACATGCAGTCCCCATTCAACTACACAAACTCCTACTCCTCCTCACCAGGAAGCATGGACTTCTTCTACAGCGGCCAACCCGTCTACGATTCTCTCTGCGACCTCGACGCAACCAGTCCCTTCCCCATGCAAAAGGTCGCACCAGAACTCTACAACATCACCAGTTTGCCGTACACCCACCAAAGACCATATGATTACCCTGTCTTCGACCGACCCGCCATGCCTCAGGGCGCACCCAGCAGCTGTGGCAGCAGCTACAGTAGCTACAGCAGCAGCTTCAACTTCCCCTCCGAAGAGATCAACCTACCAAGCTACCCCATCAGCGAATATGAGTCGAGTGCCGACTCACCCGCGCCCCAGCCATCAAAGTAAGCTGGCTGTCTCCGCCGGTGCCATTGTGGAATCCACGCACTAACACATCCTTTTCAGGCTCGTTAAGCCTTTCGGTTGCGACCACTGCGGAAAGTCCTTTACCCGTTTCGCAGACTTGAAGCGCCACCAGTCCAGCGTCCACTACCCCGTTTTCCGTAACTGCCCAGTCGAGCACTGCTCACGAAAGGGTAGCAATGGCTTTCCGCGACAGGACCACCTCGTCGAGCACCTGCGCTCGTATCACCACATGGATGTGCCGAAACGCGGATCCTGCAAACGCTCCGCAAAGCAGATCTCATGAGTCCAAAGGTCTTTCTCGCGTTGTGCCGATGTTCCCGGCATTTTCCCGGACTTGTTTACGATATCACGACTTTTGATTTTCGTTTCCGTTTTGCGATTTCTATTTTTAATTTGGCTTGTTTCATCGATCGCGATCCCGTTGTGGATCGATCCTGTATAGAAGACGTGCATTGCTTCTTCGCTTTTAGTGTGTTTCAGGTTTTGAGCTCATCGCTCATGACTTCTTATGTGTTCGAGATGATCGGGTTTAGATGGCTTATTGGTGGAATGTTTCAATGAATTGCGACGATTATGATCGACCCTTTTCCTCTCTTGGTTGGTACGGCTTTTTCTCTCTGTAATTTCCCCCTTTCTTCCAAGGTTGCTTTGACAGTAATTTTTTTTTTGCGGGTGCTCTGGGCCAATGAATTTCGCCCAAAGTAGGCCTGCAGTAGTCGCATAGCCTTACCGGACTAAGTAGGTGTTGTATCAAATAGCACAATGCAACTACGGAGTATACTCTGTACGGAGTACTGCGTGCGCCATTCCAGTGGCTGCAGCATAAAGTCGTACCCTTCATCGTTGTTCAACGATCTTAAATATGCCTCATGGAATGCAAAGAACCTCGAATGTACGCAGCAAATCAACTGAAAACACAGACCTCCCAAGCCTGTTTTGTGTCTTATCGCACAACTTGCCATAAACCCCCCCCCCCAAAACCTCAATTTGGCCCCCAATCTCCTTTTTCTCCTTAAAACATCAAGTTCCGTCACAATCCAAGTGCACGAGTCTTGAAATCCCTTTCCAAAATTAATCCCTCCCTACAGGCACCAAGGGATCATTAAGTTCACTAATGCACATTCGAAACAAATTCAAGTGCCCCATCCTTCAAAAAAAAATTTTAGTCCGATTATATACCGATCCCAAGCGTAAGACGGAGTAAAACGTTTCAAAAACATCCCCAACCCCCTCCTCTAATCCCCAGACCCATCATCATCATTCTAAAAAAAGCCCCCTCGGTATCCTTCCTTTGTTTAACAACCCGTCACGTAAGCCCCTGCTCAATTTGCCACCTGATGTGACAATGCATTAGCCACTCTCCGGGATCATCCGAGTGGAACGCAAGAACTAAATCCCCTAGCCCGGGGTAGTGATGCTGTGTTGCGTTTCAGGATTTCGCCGGCTGTAAATTCGAGATAAGCCTTATACCCTGGTCTTCAGGTGTAAAAGGTACGTTGTAGACCTGTTCCGAGATTTGTTTTCTTGTGTGGTAACGAGGAAGTCGTGTCTACGCAGGTGGATCGGATGTGCTATCTTCATTGTTGCTCCGATTATAATAACTATGCAGGATAGCGCTGTTGTTGACCGTGATTGTACTTTGAAAATCGTGGAGGTGCCGGTGAAGTACCAGTGGTAGAGAGGGAGTGGTATGTTTACGGAGGAGATCCCCGGAATCTTTTTGTGATGGAAGAAGTCTGGTGTGAACAGGGAGAGCTATGTTGCGATGATTGGGATTAGGTTTGAGCCGGCATTTTATCTTCGCGAGGGGTCAGCTTGCAGGTTGCTGTTGAAAGGAGGATGTCTGGTTTGTGTGGGAGCAGAGTGATTTTGACATATGAGGCTTCTGAGTCCAGATATCAGAAAACAGTACGGAGGACTCCGTACTGCGCACTGTTTTGTCTCTCGCCGCATCCTTCCTAACAGCTGATCTAGCCAGGGCTACCTAAATAGGAAATTCAGACCGTAAATCATCTTCCAGATGGAAGTACTCCGTACGGAGGACTCCGAACAGGAAAACCCTCGATTCAAGAACAAAAGCCTCCTCGTCATTTCCCCAAACGCCCTTGGTGCCCACTCATGTAGCCCCCAAATCCACAAATTCCTTAAAGCAAATTCCCCTAACCTTCCCATCCAAAAATACAACCCCCTCCTCTTCAAGTCTCAACTTCTTCTCCTCACAGAACCCACCACCACTCTTGTGCCCATCAACTTTCCATTCCCCCTTATACCCACCCAACGACCCATCCGCCGCAACGACCCGATGACACGGCACCTCCGGCGCAAAGGGATTGCTGCGCATTGCATTGCCGATCGCACGCGCGCTGGAGCCTAGGTACGTCGCCATCGCCGAGTATGTAGTCCACCGACCTGGCGGGACGGACAGGAGCGTCCGATACACGCGCCGGCGGTAGGGGGTTAGCGTTGGGTGCAGGGATATGCGGCGGAGAGATTTTTGGGTTTGCGCGGTGAGTGCTGCAGGTTGGAGGAATTTCTGGGGTTTAGGGTCTTTCTGGTCTGGGGTTGGTATCGAGGTCTGTGGATCTGCGGGCTGTATTGTTGAGAGCAACATGACTTGTAGATCCTCTTGTCTATGGTTCGGGGGATTCCTTTGATTTATCCCCTTTTGCTTTGGGGGGGGGAGGGGGGTTGAGACCCTTTTGATAATCTTGGGATGGCTTAGGTTCGTGGAGAGATGATATTCCAAGGCTCCATTTGTAATTTGTAATTAGCCGGGAACGATGCGACGCGAGACGCGTTTGTTGTGATTGCGGTGCTTACCACGTGAATATGGAGTAGCTGTTAATGCGTAGAGATGGAATACAACTTGTGGTTTGAATGTGATTATTTTGTAAAGAGAGAAATAGTGAGGGAAGAGACGACTATAAAAAGCTCAAATTGCAAGTTTTGATGGTTGTTCCCAAAGTGGCCAATCAGAGCGGCTTCCCTGGAGGGCATGTTCTTCAGTCACATCTCTTTTTTACTATTTTTCCTGGGATTTACACATTTTCATAGGTTTTTTTTTTAGGAAGATTTAGATCTTTGAACCATATCTATTTCTGAGTTGCTTATTTACCACAATGTCACACTTGGGCATCACCCAAACATAGCCTCAAATCTGAACGTGATCTACATGCTCCGCTCCTACAGCATTATCACCTGCCTTGGAGGCAGCAACAACCGCAGCTACAGAAAAAGGCTTTCCAGTCTCCGGGTCTACCACACTGACCTTGGGGCCGAGAGACTGCACCATGCCTGGGGTTTCCACCTTGAGGCGTGCAAAGGTTTTCTCAGCATCCCAGGTCCAGGGGGTGTTGGCCGCGAATAGGAGATCCATATCCTCTAGCGTGCGCTGGTTGCTTTCTGGATACAGAGCCCACACAATGGGGATAGCGATGAGATTACTGGCGCCGAAGATGTAGAGTGTCTTTTCACCAATGGCATTGAACATGACGGGGCAGAGGAGAGTCTCAAGGTTCTGTCAGTATATTACTGTTGTATTATTTAAGATGTTCACTTACCAGCCATCCATTTCCAATACTCCATCCGACAACACCAAAGGCATTTCCACGTGCACGAACAGCCAGGGGGAAGATCTCAGCCGGATAAACCCTTTGTGTCAGAATTAGCATCGAACGAAAGGGTCAAGACGCGAGTTCCGTACCAAGGGACTGTGAGCCACGAAGCTCCAAATGCAGATGTAAAGATAAAAATCATCGAAGCTGCGGCCGCACCATACGAGGATGCCTTGCTCATGTCACCGGCTGCCTTGTTGTCAATGGCGAGACGGGAAAATCCACCCGCAAGGAACATGGCAATGCCCTGGGCAACCGCGCCCCAATACAAAGTCCACCGGCGACCGATGCGGTCGAGAGTGAACACACAAACTAGAGTAGCAAACTAGACACACGTATTAGCAACACTCGGTCTTTGCCCCAACGCCGAAACGCACCATGTAGAAGACATTGTTCAATCCACTAATCCACTGGCTCTTCGTTGAATCAAATCCAGCAATGCCAAATATAGTTGGTGCGTAAACAGTAACTCCTGCAATACCAACCCATTCCTGCATGATCTGTAGCCAAATGACCAACTGCACACGGCGGCCGATATGCAGGTCGCCGGATCTGTAGCCAATCAGCATAGACAGATATGAGTCACCGTGGTTCACTGTCCGCTCTAGCTCCGCAATGCTTAGGATGTCCTGAAACTCGGCTTCCGCTCGGAGGAGGTCCTCTCCGCTAGATCCACGTAGACGATGTAGAATGTAGCGGGCCTCTTCCTCCCGGCCGACTTTAACGAGCCATCGAGGTGATTCTGGGAAGAACCAGACAGCCACAAAGAGGGTTATGAGGAAGAGAATTTGGAATGCAATGGGGAATCTCCAGCGGAAGGCTGACTCTCCGTTGTCGATGAAAGATAGGCCACTGTCGAGCATTAGAAAAGAGATTGCAGAGGTTGGATAGATTTACATACAACTCCAACCAATAGGCCAACACAACACCAAAAATGTTCAGCGTAAATTCAATGGCAATGAACTGTCCACGCGAAGTATGTTCAGCCGTCTCAGTAGCCCAGACAGGAACGATAGCGTTCAAAATTCCGGTTCCAATTCCGTTGACGAAACGCGCTGCTAAAGTTAGTCTAAGTCTGCATGTTATGAAACCTATGGCATCCATACCGCATATCATCCAATTGTGGTTTTGTGCCGAACACTGCAGGGCCGCGCCCAGAATAGCCCACAAAGCACCCGCTGCAATGGTCTTGATTCTTCCTCTGCGGTCTCCAAGCCAGCCACCCAGTAGTGCACCGAAAAGTGTTCCCAGGTAGTAGACCGACACAATACCACCTTGTAGCAAGGAATTGGTGACCACCGGTTTCACCTTGCCATCCACCATCTCAGTATAACCGAAGCCCATGAGATCGATATAATCCTTTGCGTTGTTAACACCGGCCATCATTCCTTGATCGTATCCGAAGAACAATATAGACAACGCGGCTACACAGTTGATTCCAATGAGAAGCTGGCGCTTCTCCAGCTTGTGGACGACATTCCAAGAGGGAATTTTGTCACTCATATTGGAAGTGGATGGAGAGGGAAATATCGAGTGGTATTAGAGGCTTTTCGCATTAATGATATGGATCTATCGACCGCAACAGAGTTGAAAACGCAGGGAAGATGACCAGGCCCCAGCCCGCGAGGTAGAATAAACTGCGCAACGATAAAAAATAGTTCCACGATCGCGCCTGCATCCTAGCACCCGAGGGTTTTAAAGCTTTTGCATGCAGCGTCAAAGCCCTGGTCACACGCGGCGCAAGTCCGAGTTACCAATGGACGATGACGCACAGGAACTTTCCCCCGGAGATCAACCGAAAAGTAGCCATGCATAGCAAGGAGTGACAGGTCGGATCCGGTGATATTCTGGTGGAACGTGGGGAACGTGGGATAGCAAACCAGTTACCAGTATCGATACAACATGATTTACCCACCAGAATGAGAAAATCCGGGGATTAGGGCCAGAATCCGGACTCGGCAAGTGCCTACTGTATGTGATAGGAATGTCATGGCGGGGCAAGATCTGGGGGCTTTTACCCGGCATACTCACCTTGGCAATCCGAAGGGAGATCCCCTTTCCTTTCTCTGCACATCCAGGGAAGCTCTATTGCGTTCGGCTTGAAATCGGTCCGGAAAGCAAACTGTAAACTGATGAGTGCTATCTACTCCGTGAATTTGAATTCTCCGATAGCATAGCTTTCTGTTATCTCCGCATTTCCCTTAAAAGTAGCCCCGGAATGATGTTCTTGGCACGCCGCTTTTGTGGGCTCGGAGTATTTCTCAGTCCGGGCTTGGCGTTCGGCTTTGGTCGTGTGACATGCTCTCTTGTGATTGGTTGCCGCCGATGAGAGATGCAGCAGCCAGGCACCCTCACCCTGGAGTGTCTTCGAAGGTTTACTTCTGAAAGCCTTCAAACAACCTTGCCCCGGGGGAACGCAGTGGTCACCTAATCAGCAGCCGACTACACCGAAATACAGCGCCGTTAAGCCTCTCGATGCATTTACTTGTCCTTTACTCAAAAAAGGCGCTAATCATGCGTCGTTCCTTTCCCTATTAGGTTAGAAGACTTGCTTTGTGGTATATCTGCCCCCACGCACTCACTGTCAGTCGAACGGCATCTGGATGCAGCTCTTTTATGGGGTACTATAGACTGTGAGATGTTTCCGATCGGCTGTAACGTCATCCTCCAAAGAGCTGTCAAACACAGTCCTGGGCAAATTAATTCACGTGTGAGACCTGCTTGAATTGGGATTAGCGTGTCTTTGTGTTCAGGGGAGGATCCACTTATATAGATTGTTCTACTTGAAGAGATTGTAGCTGGTTATTCACGAGTAATAAAATGAAAATGCAACAAATGCATGACCAATTCCGATTTTTTTTTTCTTGTCTGAGCAATACGCCCTCCAAATAAATATCTTGGCTTGCCGCAATTTTCTGTCGCGTCGAGGAAGAAGGCGGATTCTTCGAGGGTGCCGGTGCCGTGGGTGATCACGGCTCCGGACATGGTTGGATCATCACAAACTTGTGTCTGGAGTGTTTCAACTTTCGCTAGCGACATGAGAAAGTGGTGTGTGTTCAATATAGTATTCTTCTCCACTTCCAGCCTTGGGTTCTCAAAATTAGGCTTTGAGCATGGATCTTCACCGGGCCCACTAGCCAGTAAGCCTCATTGAAGGTGGCTGGGTTATTTGTAACCCGATTGTTGCAGGTATCATCCAGGCTGGCGCAGGCCTCGTCCTTTATGGGGTCTCTTAAAGCTTCTGTAAAAGTCGGTGAATTCATCTTCACTGCAATTTGAAGTCTGCTTGTAAACTCCGCAAAGTTCGGTATTAAAGATGATGTGCGGAGTGGTTGCTCTTGAATCTTCCAGCAATGTGAGAAGAGCGGGAAGATGGGGCAAAGAGATGTTGTCACGGCCCAACTACGCAAATTCGTACAGAGGCTCTATTGTGTGGAATACGATGCCGTCCCTTGGGATATGAATGTAAGGCCACATTCTATCCCATATAGGAGCCAGGTGGTTATCGTCTGAAGACTACTACATTGATGAGCATCGAAAAAGACATGATCAGCAATTTCAGGTTCAGGGCCAGGCCCTAATCGAGCTGACCGGACCACCAAGACATGTAATGTGCATCCAGATCACTGGGTGTGCCTTGATTGCTTCCGGCATTTGTCTCCCCTTGCCCACTTCCCTTTTTGGGAAACGGAAAATTTGCAGGTAAAGTCAGCTGTTTGGCCTCGGAATTGCTTCCACAAATCTATGTTTGCAAGATTTCATCTTCTTCATTCCGAAAATCTTGAACATCTTGGTCGTGAGTGACGATCTTTCTACATCTAGTACCCCGGGGCTGAGTCTAATTCCAAGGCTAATGTCCCAAAAACATGCTAACCTTTAAGTAAATTGTGTGACCACGAGCATGATCATGGGCTTTGCCTTTTAGGTAGTAATTGCGATTGCAATGTACTTGGAAAACTCGAGTCTCCAGTCTACACGAGAGTGCATGCTACAGCCTACAAGACATGTGTATAACATTCAAGTCCCCAATGTTTTATGACCAAGAGATTTGATCACAAGAAAGTAGCTCCTATTAAATACAAGAGCAAGACTTAAAGATCTTACATGCTGGTCGCATGCACTCAAGAGGGGCCAAAACAAGCATATAACCCCAGGAGACTGAGTTCATGTCGATGCCGGTCCCGGGATTGTCGACCAACTCTAATTGGTTGACTTCCCTGAACCGGGCAAGTAACAAAACCATCGGGAATATTTCAGTAACCGCATCTTCCACGATTATACCACATGGTCAGTTAAATCCCCGACCTTCCAGGATCCAATGGAAAAGGTTAACATGGCGCAGGAGCGCGGCAACGAGGATGCTGCCAAAGCACCCGAAGACCCGCCAAGCCAACATAGAGATGTGCGCCTGGAAGGTTATTCCCAGTTCACAGTAGCCCAGAAGCGGGCTATTGTAGCCATGGGATCTCTGGCTAGTTTTTTTTCGCCCTTGTCTTCGAGCATCTATCTACCCGCCTTGAATACTATCGCAAACTCCCTGCGTATCTCAGTCTCTCAGGTGAACTTGACAGTCACTACTTACTTGGTAAGTTAACGAAAGCAACGTTCTTGTTAAATAACTGTGCAACTGACCAGATTTTGTTATCCAAGATTATGCAAGGAGTCGCACCCATGCTGATTGCAGGCTTCTCGGACACCGCAGGCCGCCGTCCTGCCTACATCATTTGCTTCACAATTTACCTTGCAGCCAACCTCGGACTGGCTCTCCAAAACAGCTATGCTGCCCTCCTTGTCCTCAGATGTCTTCAGAGTGCAGGTAGTAGCGGGACTGTGGCCCTGGCAAACGGTTTGGTGGGAGACATGATCACGACCGCGGAACGAGGCTCATACATCGCCTTCGCTTCAGTCGGGAGTATGTTAGGCCCCTCCTTGTCGCCAATAATTGGCGGCCTCCTCAGTCAGTACACTAATTGGCATTGGATCTTTTGGTTTCTGCTGATTTTCGGCGGCGTGTTTTTTTTCATCCTCGGTCTATTCCTGCCGGAGACCTGTCGCAAAGTCGTCGGAGATGGGTCCATCCCACCGCCCCGTTTGAATAACTCTGTGGCAGATGTTATCCGGCATCGCACGCGCAAACAGAAGGGTCTTATGCCTGACCCGGACAAAGAAGCCGAGGTACGGAAGAACTACACTCTCCAATTCCCGTCACCGGTCCCGACTATGAAGGTCGTTCTTGATATCGAGACTTCGATCGTCCTACTCACTACAGGACTGCTATTTGCTAGTTTCTATGCTGTCATGACTGGTGCGTCGACCTCCTTCCATAAAATTTATCACTTCAACGACCTTCATGCTTCGTTGATGTACCTCCCCATCGGTGGAGGAGGGATTCTGTCAGCCTTCACAACTGGCCGACTGGTTGACTGGAACTACCGTCGCCATGCAAAATATGCCGGTCTCACCATCGTCAAGAATGTGCGTGCGGACATCCGCAACTTCAACATTGAGCGTGCGAGGCTGGAAGTCGCACTCCCACTTTATTACATTAGTAATCTGTCAATGCTGACCTATGGCTGGGTTTTGGGTCACAAGGTCAACCTTGCTGCTCCTATCATTCTTTTGTTCATTGCCGGATGGTCAATTATCGGCACCTCACAGGTCCTGAATGCCTTGATGGTTGATCTTTGGCCAGGGAAGTCGGCAGCCGCGACTGCAGCGAACAATCTATTCCGGTGTGAGCTCGGTGCCGCGGCGTCGGCGGCGATCAGCCCTATGAGCTCTGCCATGGGCGATGGTTGGGCATACACTACCCTTGCTTTCATCTCCATTGCTGTTTCTCCTTGTTTGTGGATAGTGGCGCGTAATGGGATGAAGTGGCGACAGAAAAGAAACCGAAAGGAGGAGGAGACATCGTCTCGTGGGCAGGACTAAATCTGCCTTGGTATGTATTACATGAGCTCATGAACTCACGAATTCGAGGATAGACCTGGGACCTAGCTTTGAGCTTTTTTTCTGAATTCCTCGCTTACTTACAAATGAACGCAGTCTTAACTTTGCTTTCATCTGGAAGCCTTCTCCATCTACAACACCCAACATTGTATCAGTACAGTACCTCCTTCCAGGGCTTATGATTGCCATGGAAGAAAATTTTCTACTCAGTATACACAAAAATATTAGGTTAATAAACCTCCAAGATAGGCCTCTGTTCCAGCACTTTCGCACAGCCTAGCAATGGGTGGTGTAACCTGCAAGGACATAGAAAACAATTGGTGAATGATCAAGGGCTAAATGAATAAGACCGCGATGCAAAAGAATGGCTGAGGATCGATTTTTTTATAGCACCCGGTTCACATGCAGCCCGCCACTCTTAAACGGTGGGTGCTAATATAAAGGTCAAGCCGTGCGGAGAGATGGGGGCTGCGTTGGGCGCAATCCACTGACTGTATTTGTCTGTCGAGTGCCCGCTTATAACCGCGGCGGAGATCGCCGAGATTCCTAGCCGATTAAAATGGCCCGCGGGTAACCAAAAGAATCTCTGGGGAATCGCCGCTAACTTCTCCAGCCCTTAGGAAGTGGCTTAGCAGATTGCGATCCCCAGAGTAGTCCTCTCTAAATCGGGAAGAGGTAGATGGCGCAAGAAACCCCCGGTCAAAATACAAATATCCAGGGTTTTGACATACAAAGGGAACATGACGACAAATAGGTGCTATCAAATGTTCCTCTCCCCTAGCATCGCAACATAGTTGTTCAAAGAAACACTTGACGGTTCCTGTGTCCAATTTTCTGCCTGCAGAACCGTCGGAACCGGCTCCCGACATCCTCCGGCGAGTTGCCGGCCCGCCTTCACCGCCGTACCGACATGGGCCAGCTTTGAGGCCCGTGATCCTTGGAAGGCGGTGAAGCCAAGCAATACCGCAAAAGCTCAGTCACTTCCCGTACTCGAATCCACCCACCCTATTTGCGCACTCTCAACAACTCCAATCCGCTCGTATCGAGGATTGCATTTATATCTAAAGACCAATAGTCTTTAATTTTTTTTTACTTCTTTCGTTATGTTCCGCGCAGTTTTGCCCCGGGCTACGCCCCGGTCTGCCCTCCGCCATGCCGGCCCGAAGGCTATTCCCAACAATTTTGCTACTCCCATGATCTTCATAGGCCACTCAAAACGTGGTTACGCCTCTGAAGCAGGTAAGTTGATGCTTACATGGCTATCTTGAAGCTCCTGGATAGTGCTCTTTACTTTCCCAGATGCGATTGCTGATTTCCGCTTTCCCGGGCAATAGGTGATCACGACCTGGTCATCATCGGTGGTGGTGTCGCTGGTTACGTTGCTGCAATTAAGGCTGGTCAAGAGGGTCTCAAGGTACAAACTACCCCTTCTCCAAAACTTCCGACTTTTGACTAGGTCGGTCTTGCCGTTGCAATCCGCGTACTAACCGAACACCCTGGCAGACCGCGTGTATCGAGAAACGCGGCACCCTCGGCGGTACCTGCTTGAATGTTGGCTGTATCCCTTCTAAGTCTCTCCTCAACAACTCCCATCTCTACCACCAGATCCTTCACGACACCAAGAAGCGCGGTATCGAGGTCGGCGATGTCAAGCTCAACCTTGCCCAGATGATGAAGGCCAAGGACACATCCGTTGAAGGTCTGACCAAGGGTATTGAGTTCTTGCTCAAGAAGAACGGTGTCGACTACCACAAGGGTACTGGTTCTTTTGTTGATGCCAACACCATTAAGGTCGCCCTCAACGACGGCGGTGAGCAGACCCTGCGCGCTAAGAATATCATCATCGCCACCGGCTCTGAGGCCACCGGCTTCCCCGGCTTGAACATCGACGAGAAGCGCATCATCACAAGCACTGGTGCTCTCGCCCTCACTGAGGTCCCTAAGAAGATGACCGTCATCGGCGGTGGCATAATCGGTCTTGAGATGGTATTTATTGACTACAGAAGCAGTTTCGAATGTTGGATCGTGCTAACCTCCTATCGTGGTACAGGCTTCCGTTTGGTCCCGTCTTGGCGCTGAGGTCACTGTTGTTGAGTTCCTCGGCCAAATCGGTGGCCCTGGTATGGATGCCGAGATCGCTAAGCAGGCTCAGAAGATCCTGGGTAAGCAGGGTATTAAGTTCAAGACCAGCACCAAGGTCGTCTCCGGTGACGACAGCGGTTCTACCATCGCCCTTAACATTGAGGCCGCCAAGGGTGGCAAGGAGGAGGTTTTGAACTCCGACGTCGTCTTGGTCGCTATTGGCCGTCGTCCCTACACCGAAGGTCTGAACCTGGAGCAGGTTGGAATCGAGAAGGATGACCGTGGCCGTCTGGTTATCGACCAGGAGTACCGCACCAAGCTTCCTCACGTCCGTGTCGTTGGTGACTGCACCTTCGGTCCCATGCTGGCCCACAAAGCCGAGGAGGAGGCCGTTGCCGCTATCGAATACATCAAGACTGGCTACGGCCACGTCAACTACGCCGCAATCCCCAGCGTTATGTACACTCACCCCGAGGTCGCTTGGGTTGGCCAGAACGAGGCTGAGGTCAAGGCCTCCGGTGTCAAGTACCGTGTCGGTACCTTCCCCTTCAGCGCCAACTCCCGCGCCAAGACCAACCTCGACACCGAGGGTGTCGTCAAGTTCATCGCCGATGCCGAGACCGACCGCATTCTCGGTGTCCACATCATCGGCCCCGGCGCCGGTGAGATGATTGCTGAGGCTACCCTCGCCATCGAGTACGGTGCTTCCTCCGAGGATATTGCCCGTACTTGCCACGCCCACCCCACCCTCTCCGAGGCTTTCAAGGAGGCTGCCATGGCCACCTACTCGAAGCCCATCCACTTCTAAACCTCCTCAGATCTCTTATGTCCTCCCACCATGTACCACCTTTTAGCTAACCTAGACTAGCTCGGCTAGCAAAATACATCATTCATGTAATCTTCTTCTTGCTTTCGTGAAATTCACAGCTGCACAACTTGAAGGAAGCGTTACGATCCACTATGGTGAAAGTACTCTTAGGTGGAAAAACACACACATATTCACGCCTTGCCCGTATTTTTTTTTTTTTTTTTTTCAGGCCCACTTCTTCAGCAAATTTACTTGCTGCCCAAGTATAGCGTGTGAACGTTTGACTTCTCGGTCTGGTTCTTTCTAGCTGGGGAGTTCTTGGAAATCCATCAATCCTCTATAAAAAAATGTATGCATCTCTGTATACATTCTTATCCTTCGTCTTTTCCGTTCCTGGTTTTCTCCGGACATTCAAGCAACAGTAGCCTTCGAGAACACCTCTCTAATCTCCTTAAAACCCTTCTTCTCTGCCAACAACAGCCCAAGCAAAATCCTCGACTGCTGGGGATTGAACATTCCACTGGCAATCTTGGTTTCTGCGTTCTCTCCGGTGAAATCGGCTGTGGGGACTTCGCCGTTCACAGTACGGTGTGACAAGACGACAGGGATGCTATGCTTCACACCAATGTCATTGATAGCAGAAGCGAAATCTGTGGAAACACCACCTGCACCCTCACCAGCAATCTACTATGAAATTAGCACTGCACTGCTGGAGAATCCTGATCTCATAAACTTGGGCAAAAACATACCACGATACCCTTCGCACCATTCTTCACGGCACTGTAAATCGAATCGATCTGCATGTCCTCATAGGCATACAGGATATCCACACGAGGCATGGCATCCACATTGGACACATCAGCCACATGCTTGGCATTTGCCTGCACAGCCGGGTAATAGAAGTACGGTTTATTGGACACAATGAATCCCAGGCTCCCCTGCTCATATGCCTTGAAGGTATCCACGGTATTCGCACTAGTCTTGGTTGCGAAGAGAGCCGAGACAATCCGGTCATTCAGAACAACCAAGGCTCCACGGTCCCTAGAGTTCTTGTCTGCGGCGACGGTTACTCCCTGGAGAAGGTTCATGGGTCCATCCGCTGAGATGGCGGTAGAGGGCCGCATCGAGCCGACGAATACGATTGGCTTGCCGCAGTTTACTGTCGCGTCGAGGAAGAAGGCAGATTCTTCGAGGGTGTCGGTGCCGTGGGTGATCACGGCTCCGGACATGGTTGGATCATCACAAACTTGTGTCTGGAGTGTCTGGGTCAGGTTTAAGAGGAGAGATGAGGAGATGTCGCCGCTGTTGACGTTGTGTGCCTGAATGGCGGCGATATTGGCGATCTTAAAGATATCTGGTATTCCAGAGAGGAGGGTATTGATTCCTAGGGCGCCAGATTTGTAGCCTGCTGTTGTGGTTTTGTCGTCGCTTGTGCCGGCGATGGTGCCGCCTATCTTTTCGGTTAGGGATATTGTTGTGTTTACATTTGTCATTTCAGATATTTTCATACTTACCAGTGGCTAGGATGGTAACATTTGGAAGAGAACCGTTGAAATGGCTGAATGTCAAGCCGTTGGAATTGGTATAGGATGTGTTTACTGCCCGAGGGTAGATCAAAGGAGAGGCGTAGCTTGTAGTCACCAGGGCTGAAATTGCGAGTGTCTGAATAGTGATCCCCATTTTGACTTTGATTCCACGTTTGAGACAAGTGAGGTGAAATATGGTGCAGATAATTCAGATTCAGACAAGACCGGCATAGTCAGGGTTTTATATATTGGCGGAGTCCGAGGTCCATTCATTATCCGCTTCTCAAGGCCCCGACACCGAATTTGACGAACTTCTCAAATCTAGGTTACTTGGCTATATCATCAGCAGGGTTTGGGTTTACCCTACTCAGTCCTTGCCAAGTAACCAGACTCCCGGCGTAGGGATCTCCACAACTTTTCAGTGTCCATTTATATCCTTCGTTAGGGATTCGTACAAAAAGGGCACATGCGATTATTCTTCAGTTTCTCTACTTTTGAGGTAGACGGATTAATTATGTGCTTACCATTCTAATCTTACGTATCTAAAGAAATATATCTTCTATGATGAACAACCCTTGAAGAGCGTGTAGATAAAGCACGGACAATTTTCGGAGACTAGTTGAAACCCCAATTAACCATTCATGCAATAGCACCTTGGTAACGCCAATTTAAGAAGTAGAAACGGCAATCGTGCCAAGTGACCAAGACAATCACCAGGTGTTGGTGGGCTTGGCACTCTTGCGACGTATGTACTCCGTCGATAGGCACAAAAAAGTGGAGAAGAATTGGAGGTCAGTTGGGGTAACATCGTGCAGATCGTCATGCATCCTGCGATTGAACTGGATATATATCAATTGATGAATAATAGATACCAGACAAATACAAATGTCTTGATTTGGTTGTTACGCCATTTTGCTTTGAATTTGAACATGACAACATTCAACCTATTTTTGGCGTCGGCACCTCTGTATAAATAGATCTATTTCATCTTGTCCTCTACCGGTCTCTTGTTCGTGCTCTACTCTCAATCAATAAAAGCTTCGCTATTGGCCAACATTATTGGCTCTATCACCGACAGCGACCAAGACCGATGATTAGTATTACAAGGTCACAATCCAGAAGTGTTGCTGAGTTCCTTGAGCTATGCCTAGTGGAAGGCAGCCGGAGCTCCACAGAGGGGGTTTGTTGTGACGTGAACTCTTTGGGGAATTGTAGCTCAACATCGTGAATTCCATCAGCTGTCTCATTCTAAAAGGGGTCAGTTTCATTTGAGGGCACTAGGCCTATGTAATTAATGAAGAGAAAAAAACGAGACCAGACAAAAGAAACTCCGATAGGGGGAATCGAACCCCCGGCTGCCGTGTGAGAGACGGCGATGTTAGCCACTACACCATATCGGAGAGGGACAATGAGTTACCCTCTTAGGTTTATCCTTGACCCCTTGGGTTTAGCGTCATCGGTCGCTGTGCGTGCCCGTGCGTGGTTGTATATAGATCCCTGCTTCCCCCTTCCTATCCTACAGCTCGGATTTTCTTTTTCGCCTTTCTTCTCTCTTCGCCTCGCAGGTGAGGCATTTTTGCTATTGATCCGGATCACCGAGCTCCTGAGCTCCGCCACCCCTTTCCCGTGTGACTCGTCGACTTTCCTGCGATCCCGTGA